ATTACATTAAGGACCCAAAGCCATTCTTCACTAATCATGCAATATTATTCTACCACACTTTGTGTTAAACTCCCTTATTAAGTGTACGTTATGATTGCAGAGTTTCGTACTAATTGATTTACATTATGAACGGCAGGACTGCTCTTCAATATTAGGTGTCAGTTAAGGACCCAATCTTGATTTTTGAATCACTAGTGTTTTACAAGGCAGAGTTTCGTAATAATATGATTGTACATTAGGGACCCACAGCCATTCTTCACTAATGATGCAACATTATTCCACAAAACTTTGTGTTAAACTGCCATATTAAGTGTACGTTATGATCGCAGAGTTTCGTACTACATTATGCACGGCAGGACTGCTCTTGAGTAAAAGGTGTCAGTTAAGGACCCAATCTTGGTTTTTCAGTTTTTCCAAATGTTTCTCTCTCTCTGTTGAATCACCCTATTCAACATTATATTCCTTGAAATAAGTACGTATTATGATCGTAGTAATTTCATTAAGGACCCACAGCCATTCTTCACTAATCATGCGACATTATTCTACCAAACTTTGTGTTAAACTCCCTTATTAAGTGTACGTTACGTATGATTGCAGAGCTCGTACTAATTGATTTACGTGTGCACGGAAGGACTGCTTTTGAATAAAAGGAATCGCGAGTTAAGGACCAACCTTGATTTTTGAATCTCTAATGTTTTTTACTTAAGGCAGAGGTTTCGTACTAATTGATTTACATCATGCACGGCAGGACTACTCTTGAGTAAAATGTGTCAATTACGGACCCAATCTTGTTTTTTGACTTTTTCAGGTGTTTCTCTCTCTGCTGGATCACCCTATTCGACATTATAGTCCTTGACATAGAGTAAGATGATTGTACATTATGGACCCACAGCCATTCTTCACTAATTTCATGCAACATTATTCTACCAAACTTTGTGTTAAACTCCCTCATTAAGTGTACGTTATGATTGCAGAGTTTCGTACTAATTGATTTACATATGCATGACAGGGCTGCTCTTTAGTAAAAGGTGTCAGTTAAGGACCCAATCTTGGTTTTTCACTTTTCCAAATGGTTCTCTCTCTGCTGAATCACCCTATTCGACATTATAGTCCTTGAAATAAAGTAGGTATTATGATTGTAGTAATTACATTAAGGACCCAAAGCCATTCTTCACTAATCATGCAATATTATTCTACCAGACTTTGTGTTAACCTCCCTTATTAAGTGTACGTTATGATTGCAGAGTTTCGTACTAATTGATTTACATTATGCACGGAGGACTGCTCTTCAATATTAGGTGTCAGTTTAGGACCATATCTTGATTTTTGAATCACTAATGTTTTACAAGGCAGAGTTTTTCGTACTAATTGATTTACATCATGCACTGCAGCGACTGCCTCTTGAGTAAATGTGTCAATTACGGACCTAATTTTGTTTTTGGACTTTTTCCAAATGGTTCTCTCCTCTGCTGCATCACCCTATTCAGACATTATAGTCCTTGAAATAAAGTAGGTATTATGATTGTAGTAATTTACATTAAGGACCAAAGCCATTCTTCACTAATCATGCAATATTATTCTACCACACTTTGTGTTAAACTCCCTTATTAAGTGTACGTTATGATTGCAGAGTTTCGTACTAATTGATTTACATTATGAACGGCAGGACTGCTCTTCAATATTAGGTGTCAGTTAAGGACCCAATCTTGATTTTTGAATCACTAGTGTTTTACAAGGCAGAGTTTCGTAATAATATGATTGTACATTAGGGACCCACAGCCATTCTTCACTAATGATGCAACATTATTCCACAAAACTGTGTGTTAAACTGCCATATTAAGTGTACGTTATGATCGCAGAGTTTCGTACTACATTATGCACGGCAGGACTGCTCTTGAGTAAAAGGTGTCAGTTAAGGACCCAATCTTGGTTTTTTCTGTTGTTTCAAATGTTTTCTCTCTCTCTGTTGAATCACCCTATTCAACATTATATTCCTTGAAATAAGTACGTATTATGATCGTAGTAATTTCATTAGGACCCACAGTCATTCTTCACTAATCATGCAATATTATTCTACCACACTTTGTGTCAAACTTCCTTATTTAGTGTAACATTATGATTGCAGAGTTTTCGTACTACATTATGCACGGCAGGACTGCTCTTGAGTAAAAGGTGTCAGTTAAGGACCCAATCTTGGTTTTTCCGTTTTTCCAAATGTTTCTCTCTCTCTGTTGAATCACCCTATTCAACATTATAGTCCTTGAAATAAGTACGTATTATGATCGTAGTAATTTCATTAAGGACCCACAGCCATTCTTCACTAATCATGCAACATTATTCTACCAAACTTTGTGTTAAACTCCCTTATTAAGTGTACGTCAAAGATGATTGCAGAGCTTCGTACTAATTGATTTACGTTGTGCACGGAAGGACTGCTTTTGAATAAAAGGAATCAGTAAGGACCCAATCTAGATTTTTTGACTTTTTCAGGTGTTTCTCTCTCTGCTGGATACCCTATTCGACATTATAGTCCTTGACATAGAGTAAGATGAGTGTACATTATGGACCCACAGCCATTCTTCACTAATCACGCAACATTATTCTTCCAACTTTGTGTTAAACTCCTCATTAAGTGTAACGTATGTGATTGCAGAGTTTCGTACTAATTGATTTACATTATGCACGACAGGGCTGCTCTTTAGTAAAAGGTGTACAGTTAAGGACCCAATCTTGGTTTTTCACTTTTCCAAATGGTTCTCTCTCTGCTGAATCAACCCTATTCGACATATAGTCCTTGAAATAAAGTAGGTATTATGATTGTAGTAATTACATTAAGGACCCAAAGCCATTCTTCACTAATCATGCAATATTATTCTACCACACTTTGTGTTAAACTCCCTTATTAAATGTACGTTATGATTGCAGAGTTTCGTACTAATTGATTTACATTATGCACGGCAGACTGCTCTTCAATATTAGTGTCAGTTAAGGACCTATCTTGATTTTTGAATCACTAATGTTTTACAAGGCAGCGTTTGCGTAAGTAATATGATTGTACATTAGGGACACGAGCCGATTCAATGCACTAATGATGCAACATAGTATATCCACAAACTAATTGTGATTTAAACTGCCATATTAAGTGTACGATTTATGATCGCAGATAGTGTTCCGTATCCACATTATGCACGGCAGGACGCTCTTGAGTAAAATGTGTCAGTTAAGGACCCAATCTTGTCCAGATGTTTCTCTCTCTCTGCTGAATCACCCTATTCGACATTATAGTCCTTATATAGGTAATATATGATTGTACATTATGGACCCACAGCCATTCTTCACTACTCATGCAACATTATTCACCAACACTTTGTGTTAAACTCCCTATTAAGTGTACGTTATGATTGCAGAGTTTCGTACTATTGATTTTACATTATGCACGGCAGGACTGCTCTTGAGTAAAATGTGTCAGTTAGGGACCATCTTGTTTTCACTTTATCCAGATGTTTCTCTCTTTACTGAATCACCCTATTCGACATTATAGTCCTTGGCATAGAGTAGTATGATTGTACATTAAGGACCCACAGCCATTCTTCACTAATCATGCAACATTATTATACCAAACTTTGTGTTAAACTTCCTATTAAGTGTACGTTATGATGCAGAGCTTCGTACTATTTATTTGCGGGACTGCTTCACATATAGTTTCAGTTAGGACCCATTTGATTTTGAATCTCAAGAGGCAGAGTTTCGTACTAATTGATTTATATCATGCACGCAGGACTGCTCTTGAGTACGTGTCTTTTTCAGATGTTTCTCTCTCTGCTGGATCCACCTATTCGACATTATAGTCCTTGACATTAGAGTAGATTGATTGTGCATTATGGACCCACAGCCATTCTTCACTAATCACGCAACATTATTCTACCAAACTTTGTGTTAAACTCCCTTATTAAGTGTACGTTATGATTGCAGAGCTTCATACTACATAATTCATTTACATTTTGCACGGAAGGACTGCTTTTGAATAAAGGACCCATCGTCCTTGACATAGAGTAGTATGATTTGTACATTAAGGACGCCACAGACATTCTTACTATATCATGCAACATTTATTGCTACCAAACTGTGTTACACATCCCTTACTAAGTGTACGTTATGATTGCAGAGCTTCATCTACATAACTTGATGTTTACATTTTGCACGGAAGGATGCTTTGAATAAGGACCCATTCGTCCTTGACATAGAGTAGTATGATTGTACATTAAGGACCCACAGCCATTCTTTACTAATATCATGCAACATTATTATACCAAACTTTGTGTTAAACTCCCTTATTAAGTGTACGTTAGGATTGCAGAGTTTCGTACTAATTGATTTATTTACATTATGCATGGCAGGACTGCTCTTGAGTAAAAGATGTCAGTTAAGGACCCATCTTGGGTTTTCACTTTATCCAGAGTTTCTTCTTTACTGAATCACCTATCGACATTATAGTCCTTGACATAGAGTAGTATGATTGTACATTAAGGACCCACAGCCATTCTTCACTAATCATGCAGCATTATTCTACTAAACCTTGTATTAATCTGCCTTGTGTGCTTTATGTTTGTAGAAGTTCGTTTTAAAAAATCTTCTCATAGTGCGTATTGACGTTGCTATAATTAGCGAGCGGAAGCGAGCTAACCTAGTGGTCCGAACGGCGCGATTTTTTTCTGTACTCGGCACCGTATAATAGACGTTGTCGAGCGCCGCCGAACAAGAGTGACTCATACAATTAGACCCCATTTGTAAGCTCGCTTCCCCTCGCCAAAAATGCCATGCATTCGCCTAAATTTAGTTGTTGTAGATGTTCGTCGATGATCCCCTCAGACGAGATACGAGCGTACGCGCGCGGCGCGCTGCGCATTGCGACCGTGGTCTGCAACGGGTTAAACACATTTTGCGTGGGTACCGGGTCCTTAGGTCGGGTCCTAGTGCGTTTTTGCTATACTATAATACTACTGCGCGAGACCAACATCGTCGTAATCATGGCTGAAGAGTTTCTTCGCGACCATCCCAGACTAAGATCGTTTGTTCTCTCGGATGTCCAGTTAACTGGTACAGAACTCGGTAGCGGAGCCTATGGCAAAGTGGAGGAAATAGTTGTTCCGTTGTGTGCAGCCGCCAAAACCATCCACCCCTTTCTGCAGGAAGCCAAAGCCTCAACTGAGTTTGTGAGAGAATGCCAGCTGATGAGCTCCCTCAGTCACCCAAACATTGTTAAATTTCTAGGAGTCGCCTTCTTTCCTGGGTCTCGACTGCCCGCCCTCGTCATGGAGCGACTTTTAACGAGCCTTCACGACCTGCTGGACCCAGACCCAGACCCATCCCCCTTATCTAACCCTACACCCGTCTCCATGGCTCTCAAGTGTTCCATACTGCATAATGTAGCATGCGGCCTGGCGTACCTACACGGGCGATTGCCGCCCATCATTCACCGCGACTTGTCGGCCCGAAACGTTCTTCTAGACTTTGATATGGTGGGGAAAATAACTGATCTTGGAGTAGCTCGTACTGTGCCTCGTTTGATGGTTGCGGCCACCATGACAAAGGGGCCAGGAGCGTCAGTCTACATGCCTCCAGAAGCTTCTGCACCTGCTGCATCTAACACGCAAATGTCAAAATATGACGCAAGTATCGACGTCTTTTCTTTTGGTGTCGTCACTATTTTCACTATTGGTGAAAAATTCCCATGTGACCCTCTTCCACATACATATGCAGATGAGAAGACAGGCCTGCTGCAAGCTCGCACTGAACTTCAGCGGCGCAGTAACTACATGCGATATGTTAACAATCAACTACGTGCCTTTCACCAGCTCTATGCGAAACACCCTCTGATATTGCTAATCCAGCAATGCCTGCAAAATTTCCCATCGAAAAGGCCAGATATTCGTGAAGTGTTGTGCCTGTTGGAGCAAGCAAGAGGTTGCTTCAATCAAGAAGAGTGTGAGAGAAACAAACTTGAAGTCTTACAATCCATTCAGAGTCAGCCGAGGGACCAGGTGCGTTAACTAGCTATGTTTTGTGATCTGAAAAAAGAGTCCTTAACAAACTGAACAATAAGTGTAACCACACCCCCAGTTGCTGCTGGATAGCTAATACCAGGTCTTATCTGTCTGTCTGTTACCACGTTTTCTGCCACCACGCGCAACGAGACAACGAAAGAGCGATGCCAAAAGGTTCAGTGCTATACCGGCTTGATTTAAATTTGGCGATTTTCGTAAAAGCAATGTGTTCGATAGTTATGGCGTGAAAACCAAGTGAACAAGCCAATATGCTAATTAGTATTGGCTTATCCCGCCCGGATTCTGCTGTTTGTGCACTGCGGAGGCATGCGACCAACGGAAGACGAGTATAGAGTGCAGCGATATCTAAACGCTAGTTTAGCTAGCGAAAGATAAATCTAAACACTAAGTATAGCTAGCTGAGCGGGTATCCCGGCAGCACCAACTGGGGGTAATTATACCGATCCCTCCGCGCCTACGTATGTTACACTGACGCGTGGGTTTGTGATTCCATGTGTATGCATCGAGCATGCGTAGATACTGAGCTCAGTGTGGCTTCATTCATCGTTGTCCTGTGGAAAGCTACCCGTATAATGGATGCCAACCCTTAGCAAAGGTCTGGGTTAGTGCAGATGAACGCTAACCTTGCACGCGTTTTACAGAGCCTTTTTTCCTTCAGCCCTTCAGAGAACACATTAGCTAACAGCCCTTTTCCCAGGTCTAACTTTGTTAATCGGTATCTCCGACTTTTCAGGATACTTCTGATACTAGAGCCCTTCATTCGTGATGGTGATATTCTCAGTTTTGGAACAAAATTGTTGTATGATTTGTCTGATTTCCGCGTGATCATGGTTGTGTTGTGAAGCTGCTTGTGATTTGATGAGATGATGATGGTTTCTGTCGTTCTTCGATTTTCATGTTCCTAGGCTTTAGGACATGTTCACTGTTTTTTCTCAGTTCAGGCCTGCTTTGTAAAGCCAGTCTGGGTCTTCTAGACATGTTCACTGGCCTAGAGTCACACACTCTGATTGTAACAAATAATATTGCTATATAGACTAAGCTATGGTGTTAATGCATACACATAGCCCAAACGACATGTGTGGTACCACGCTGCCGAGGGTTTTGCACTTTAGTGCTTTTCAGTTTTACTTAGTAATGGGCATGCAGTACCTCTTATGGCCGGAATAATTCCGATTGTAATGTATTCAGGAAAGCATCTCAAAGTCAATCCCCTCCATTTTTCTTCATCTAAAAGAAGTAAAGGTCCCTCTGAAATGAGCTAAATATTGACTTAAGGGTGCTTTCCAAGATCAGGTTACATTTGACTCTGCGGTAATGCACTCATTACTTGACCAGAATTTGGCATGTGTTCTACAAGACTTGAAGACAGTAAATGCAGACCTCCAGGCTTATGTGCAAGCAAAGGAGAGAGAGCTAGCCCAGGCTCACCAGCAACTGATACTAAAGGTGAAGGCTTGTAACAGTGTCCAGGAATATCTTTTTCACGCATTATGTCAAATGTAGGAAGAAAGACTGCAAATAAGTGAAAGGGAGAGGCAGGATATGGATAGAGAGCTAGCTGATGTGAACCACAAACTCACACAGAAGGTATGCATAGAGTTGGTGTTTGGTTCTTTTAGTGCTATTGGAGGTTGTAAGTGTAGGAGGAAGAATTAATTGGAAAGCAAGTGCAACTAACACAAACAGAAGCAGAGTTAACAAGAGCACAGGAGATCCTCAAGAGACAACAGCAAGAAATGGAGGAAATGGTGTGTGAAGTCAGAGGTTAATGCAGGAGGGGGAACACCCATAGCTATACCAAAAACATAGCCTTGTAGGTACAAAGATCTGGAGTCCATTAAATCTTCTGGTAGCAGCTCTAGTTTCTAGCCATCTAATGTTCTAACATAACTATGTACTGCAGATTAGCTACTACTTAATTCTTGCCCATAATAGATGTTCTCGGGAGGTGTTAGACAGCCTAACGGGGGTTTACCATTGACAGAGTCCCTTCCCCACCCCCATCCCTACACAAAAATCATGTATAATATATAATCCCCTGAAATTGCTCCTAACTGGTGCCTTTTTTAACTGCAGAGGACTGAGTTATTACAGGCAAAATACATGGCCCAACTTCCCCACCCCCATCCCTACGCAAAAATCTATAATCCCCTGAAAGTGCTCCTAACTGGTGCCTTTTTTAACTGCAGAGGACTGAGTTATTACAGGCAAAATACATGGCCCAACACAAGGTGAATTAAAAAAAACGCACTATGCAGTGCATTATGCGGTTTAGTTTTAGTCTTAGTGCGCAAGGACGGAGTGATAACATAGGCAATTGATAATTGTTATCACTCCATCTGAGAGCACTAATTGGAACTGTAACATTTTAGTGCTGCATGTGACCTCAGCTAAAAGTGTGCATTAAGTTGTAAACTGTGTGCATCAAGATGAAAAAGTGTGCATCAAATAGTGAATGCACATTTTACAGTGCATTAAAAGAGTGTGCATGAAAAGAATCTGATTAACTGATGGTCACATGACCAGCACTTACAAGTTAATATGTTCACTTGTTAGCTAAAACAGTGGCTAGAGGTCTGGATAGTCAATGACTAAAGCACTCTAAGAAACCTAGAAACATAGTACTCCTAATGTACACATTATGTCTTACACTATATAGTACTTCCTGGAGTTAAATCAACAAAGTTTTTATGCACACTTTTCAGTGCATTAAGCGAGTGTGCATGGAAAGATCTGATTAGCTGAAGGTCACGTGAGCAGCACTTATAAGTTAATATGTTCACTATAATATACCTTATTAGCTAAAACAGTGGCTAGAGGTCTGGACAGTAAATAAAATCAATGATTAACTTAGCCCTTAGCTCCTAGAAACATAGTACTCCTAATGTACACATTATGTCTTACACTAGTACTTCCTGGAGTTAAATCAACAAAGTTTTTATGGTACTATGTAGGAATGTCCCACACCATTATGAAAGCCAACTTACTATGATGCAGCAATGCAAACCCCTTTTTCCTATAAGGGTTCGCTATGTACATTGTGGGTGTGTATTTTGTAGCTTCTAAGCTAGCATTCTGTGCTCAGCAAACAATGTGTTTGAATACCGCTCCGCAGTGTGTTTGTCGCACTCTTTTGTTTGCTGCTTCACAGTGTGTTTCATAACCACAGAAGCACATTGTTCAGGTAGGATCAAAATGCACAAGGACCTACTCTGCATACACAAAAACTCACTCAGAATGTGTTTCAGAGCACACTTTCGCTGACAGCATTAAAGTGCAAACCCGCGGCGAACTGCGCATGTGCGGTACCACTAATTGATGGGCTGGGCTTTTTATGGTGGTATCCCGCAAGTAGCTAGCGGAGAATCTGCCACGGGCTAGCTACAGTAGTAGATAGCATGCGGGAGACGATACATGTCCTTCGTTGTGACTTCTTGTGCCTTCAAGATACACAGAGCGAGTGGACGCGGTCGAGGTAAACCTGTGCTAATTTTCATTTTGGCTTGTTCACTTGCCCTTCACGCCATAACTTTTGAACGCAGAAGTTATATCAAAGTCACCTTTTTAAAAATAAGGCCAGTGTAGCGATGAACCTGTTCGTGTCGCTATTTCGTTGTCTCGTTGCGCATAGTCGCAGAAAACGTGGTAACAGACGAACGAACAGACACACTCACACACACACACTCTCACGAACCAAGTACCGTAACCCTCGCTGCGCATGCGCGCCGAGGGTTAACCTCAGGCATGTATGAGTTTGTACCTACAACTCACTGATGCTGGATCTTATGACAATGAAATTTTGCACGTTTTTGTTTAAAACAACATTAGACTGGCTGAGGCAATAATAACACAAGTCCACGAATACTACTTTCATAGGCATTATGCCCCAAAAATATTCTCTGTTAGTTGCATGGTGAGTGTTTACTCTGTGGTCAGAAAACATTGGCATTCAAAGCAAGGAGAGAAAATGTGAGATGACTGGTACATGTGAAGATGCAGAAGATATAAGACTTGAAAATGTGCAAAAGCCAGCATTGTCTGTGTGTATATAACCCTCATCTATCACATGTATATACCAGTCTCATCTCTGTCTTGTCTCCTTGCTTTTTATGCCATCCCTAAATGCATGCATGTAGAGTGCTCTCTACCTTGGACTTCCTGGATTATCATAACATTCCTCATGTGTTACAGATGTCTCCTGCTTCCTATGTGAGCCGGGTTAGTGGACCTGGTTTAATATCTGCCACAGTCAACAAGCCGACACACCTGTTCGTTAAATTGACACAGTCTAGTGGTAGAGCATGTACACTGCAAGTCGATGTCACCGCACAACTGGACTTTGTCTCACAAGACAGAGTCGCAGGAAAATCAAGTGTGCGTCATAAAATCGACATACCGGTAGTGATGAAATCTCCCTCCCAGTATGAGATGTCATATACTGCACAAAGTCGAGGTCAACGCAAAATCCATGTTCACGTGAACAACATTGAAATCGATGGCAGTCCCTTTACTGTGACTGTATACCCAGACCCTAGTCATTTAGGTCGGCCTGTGAAGATTGTGACGGGATTAACTAAACCTTTTGGCATTGCTTTCAATAATCAGCAGTGTATGATTGTTAGCGAATTGGGTGGTCATCAGTTAACTCTCTTTGACACTAGAGGACACAAGATTATGACATTTGGAACGTATGGTGGCAATCCAGAACAGATGATATACCCTACAGGTGTAGTAACTGATAGGTCAGACAATGTATATGTGAGCAGTGAGCACAAGCTACAGAAGTTTAATAGCAGTGGAGTTTTCATTAAAGGTACTGGTCAAATGGGGAAGAGAGAAGGGGAGTTTTACGATCCATGTGGAGCAACACTCTACAACAATACACTCTACGTGTGTGATGCACATAATCATCGCATCCAGGTTTTTGACCTTGATTTAAACTTTGTCCGTTCCATTGGCACGTATGGCAATGGGAGTGGTCAGTTTGACAAGCCTCTCGATGTTAAATTTGACATTGCTGGGAACATGTACGTTGCTGATTTTGGCAATGAGAGACTTCAAGTTATGGATGCCGATGGTAATTTCATAAGCGCATTTGGTCAGGAAGGAGAGGGAAAACTACGTGGACCATCTGCTGTACATATTGCTGACATGTATGTTTATGTGTCTGATTGGAGAGGTGATTGCATTAATGTGTACGAGACCTCAGGTAATTTCATCACCTCATTTGGAAAGCATGGCGAGAAGGAGGGGGATTTTCGTGCTCCTTATTGCATCACTTCTTGTGCTGATGGCTATATTTATGTATGTGATAATGGAAACTATAGAGTTCAAATATTCTAGTTTTATCTTACAGCTCCAAGTTTGTTTTTTGTATATAATAAAAGTTTTGTGCAGACAATAGATAGTGCGGTTCAATGTTATTATTTCAGATTCAGATCTTGACCCCATTCCTTTTGTGGATAGCAATAGCCATACTGAAGTAACAAAAGTCTGCTGGCTTGATATAAAATTGTGTGTGTGTTTGTGATTGGGAAGGAAGAGAGGTAAAGTGTAGGCAAGACTAAAGCTAACGAGAGAGGGTAGGCGGCTTTTGTCGGCGTCACCCAGCCAGGTGCTTAAATGTACATGTAAACCTATGCACAAGTCCAGCAACATGCAGGTGCAGTGCTAGGCTCTTTGTTACTGGTCATCAGGGGAGTTCCCAATCCTTCACTACGTCACACATGTTTCGGCCTCTTTAAACTCCCGACATGTGAGACTCCAGAAAGGGCGAGGCCACTCCACCTGGTTTGAGTCCAGATTTTTCTACTACATTGCTACAATTATTGTACTTACAAACTAACCATAATGGCAACTTTAGCTATCCTTAATTTTGGTCTTCTATTCTTCACTTCTTTCTTCATTCACCCTTGCTCCTATAACTACTATAGGCAAGCTTTGCTGTTTTAGAGTGGATGTTAACCCTTAGCCAGCCACGGGCATATATATAATATATATGGCCAGTACCCCCATTAATTATGCCTATAATACTAGGCGTTAATATGTTATACATCAGGAGATACCCATAGCTTCCAAGGGGTTTAAAGTAAAAACTAGCTGTTAATTAGGTGTGTGTTTGTGTATGCGTGTGTGTGTGTGTGGTGTGCATGTGTGTGTATATATGCCTGTAGGTGTATGTACTGTATGTATGTATATGTTGCAGTGCCCAGACAGGACAGCATGAGCCCTGTAAGGGCGAATGCTGTCCTGTCTGGGTACTGCAACAGATTTGTTGGATATCCCTAGGCAAACGACATGTATGAACCCACCTTACATCTCACAGGATAGTATATGCTCTTGTTGGATATCCCTAAGCAACAGACATGTATAAAGCTACGTACTGGGGAGTTTTATGAGCATATACTATCCTGAGGTGGGTTCATACATGTCGGTTGCTAGGGATATCCAACAAATATATTGCAGTGCCCAGACAGGACAGCATGAGCCCTGTAATGCTGTCCTGGCACTGCAACATATACATAAAACTCCCCAGTACATAGCTTCATACGTGTCAGTTGCCTAGGGATATCCAACAAGTATGTATGTATGTATGTATGTATATGTTGCAGTGCCCAGACAGGACAGCATGAGCGCTGCAAGCGCAAATGCTGTTCTGTCTGGTCACTGCAAGAGATTTGTTGGACGTTCCTAAGCAACCGACATGTATGAACACCTCTCCGTTGTCTGGAGTGTGAAAAATCAATGAGTACATGCAGCTGCCTAGGGATATCCAACAAGTATGTTTGTTGGATATCCCTAGGCAACCGACATGTATGAAGCTAGGTATTGGGGTATTTTATCAGCCTATACAATCCTAGGCAGGGTTCATACATGTCATTTGCCTCGGGATATCCAACAAATCTGTTGCAGTACCTAGACAGGACAGCATGAGCCCTGTAGCACTGCAACATTATTTGTTTGATCAACCGACATGTATGAAGCTAGGTACTGGGGGATTTTATCAGCCTATACAATCCTACATGTGCAAGCAGGGTTCATACATGTCATTTGCCTAGGGATATCCAACAAATCTGTTGCAGCACTGCAACATTATATATGTAAGTATGTGCAAAACCAAATCCGCATGGCACCTTAGAGGCTAGGCTGACTTACAAGTTAAAACTTGCTTAGAATCACTTTTTATAACATCCACTACTCTATGCTCTTCCCTATGGCTATGTCTGGATAATAATTATACCAATTCTTGTTCCAGCATTATTGGTTGCTTCCTAGATACCAGCAAGGCTTTTGATAGGGTTGATCAGGTCTAATGTTTCAGAAGTTGGAACTAAGATGTCTTCCACCAGGTCCTGTTGTCGTCAATTTTATTCTTTCTTCGTACCGTTCTCAGACAAAATATGTATGAGCGTCCAGTGGAATGCTAATTTTTCCTCTGATAGCTTTGTGGTAAGCGGTGGAGTTCTTCAGGGTGGTGAGTTACGTTTATACTCAGATGGGTTGTTAACTGAGTTTGGCGTTGGATGTCTGAACCCTCTGCAATTCCAGCTGACAATATTTAGCTCATTTGCAATAGTGGTTGGCCGGTATTTAACAGGGTTTGCAAGGTATACACCATGCATTTGGCGCATGCGCAATTACGACGCGTACGCTGGTGGTCACGAGAGACACGCTCAGCTCGCATCGTTCGTCGCGAATCGGACAGCCGACTATGGCAGAAGACTCAGACAGCGATGGTAGGTAGCTGTGCAGCTAGATTGGCATTATTCTCCTACTTTCCATAACAGACGGTATCGATGGCTTTGGACCACAATCACCTCCTCTGACAGATCAGATCGCTAGTGTCTTACGGCGCTATCCCGACGGGGGACAGATATTGAAGGTGAGGCACTAACCCTACATATCTTCCACGTATATTTGATAGGTGCTGGCCCCTTTTATTTTCAGGAGTTGATTCAAAATGCAGACGACGCTGGTGCGCAAGAAGTCCGTTTTCTTCTAGATCAAAGAAGTCATTCTACTGAGGATCTCTATGACAGTGGGCTCTCTAATTACCAAGGTCCGGCTCTATATGCATGGAATGATGCTGTATTCAAGAAGGAAGACTGGAAGTTTCTTGGAAAGATAGAGCAGAGTGGCAAGAAGAAAGAAGTGCTTAAAGTTGGCAGATTTGGACTTGGGTTCTTGTCCGTTTTTCATATGACAGGTAATAGGCCTTTATTAGTTATTTTATAGGATGGTTCAGTAAGTCACATAAGCAAAATTCCTTTCATGTCACAGTAATGGAATGTGAGTGACCTTCTCCTTAATGAATAATAGTATGCCATAATGAATGTAATTTTCAGAGTAACTCCCATTCTCCTTGAACACCTCCTCCCTGAAGAAATTCTCTGTAGGTGAATTCTGAGTTCATGTGACTTACTACTTCTTCGTAATACTGCTATCAGGGTCTTTACCTTTCGTGACATTTGCCCTTTCATGGAAATAGAAGCTAGCTAGCGTGCACCTCAAGAGGGGTGTGGTCATAGTACTGCGTGTATAGTGTATGTACTGCAGCTGTGCTACAGAATGAGTAACGCGTGTGGCCATGGCTGAGTTACAACCAACACCGAAACGACCACGACAATTTTCTCTTGCCGATTTCTTCCCAAGGGAACTGCTAGTCAAGTTCGAGTAGTGAGCAGACCCCCCACGTGCTAAAATACGTGAACTTATATACCGTCGTGAAGTCCAGAGGACATTTATGCATCAAAGTATAACTGGGACACTCACAGTCTCACTCAAAATAATTATGATTTGTGTTTTGGCTTGTATGCTATACAGTTTCAGTATATTATACCCTACAGGAGGCCATACTATCAGCTAGATTGTGCCAGAAACACTCTCCGTAGGTCCTAAATTCGCCTCTCCCTGCTTTTCTGTAGAGGGGGTTGAGCTCGTTTGCTCCATCACGATTTCACATTAACTGTAGCTGGCGAATCCAGGTGGTAATATTTTATTTCTACCAGCGAGGACTAAGTATTCACACCCCTAAATCGTACAGCGCGGGGCACATGGTATTAATGACTGGCTTCTTAATTAGCCTCGTCCCAAGGCCTCCTATGAAGAAAGGAGGAGCTGGAGACATTAAACATCACACCTTGTCCCCAGGTCTCCTAAAATAAGAAGGAAGACCTGTTACTCACTGTACTTGTACACATGTGCCAGATGTGTTGAAGAATAACACACAGTCAAAGTGCAATCAGACTATGGGTGAATTATTGCGTGAATGTGTTCTAATGGTTAACAGCTTTTCAAAGTCTCTACCCAGCTCCATGATCAGAATCTGGGTTGTAGCTACCATGTGTGCTACGTATATATCCATGCTTTATCCTGGCTTCTAGTTGCGGTACCCAAGAGCACTTCCAGTAGCATAGACCAGCCAGGGAAGCTTTTACCGAGACTTTTGGGAGACCTCTGTTTGCTACTATTACTGGCCTTGCTGCAAGCCACCTCTTCGTTCTCTCCACGAGCATAGTGTAGAGGGGAATGAAAGCAATCATAATATTATTGTGGACAGATATTATTAACCCTCGGCGTGCGTGCGTAGCGAGGGTTACAGTAGTTGGTTTGTGTGTATGTGTGTGTGTTGTGTGATTTGTGGAGAAAGAGAAAAGGAGAAGGGTTAAGGAGAAAGGGGGGGAGAAGCAGGGCTGGGAGGGCTTTTGTCCGCATCGCCCGGGCAGCAGCCCAACATTCATGCGGTCTTAGCCTAGGGACTTACTACGCCCGCACCCACGTGCGCAGGAGTATCATAGGTATGTATTCGACCAGTCATCAGGGAAGTACCTATTTCCATCATTGTATGACAACGGGTTTCGGTCCCTTTAACTTTCCGACCCGAGGTCAACTCTGGAATAGGCGGGACCACTCCCCAGCAAGGAGTCCGGCATAAAATGGATACTTACATTAGTGTCTATGTTTTATGCTGTATATCTCGCTCACCTTTTCCTCTCTTGACTTTCTCTCTGGCTTGTAACTAAGCAGCTTCTTAGTGCTTGTTGTATTAATAGTCTAGCTAGTTATGAATATTAATAAGTAGTGGTTTTTGGCACAGGATGTGGATACTATTGTGACAGCTGATTGTTGAAATATACATATTAATGTGTGTGTGTGTGTGTGTGTGTGTGATAAAAAAAACCACAGAGGTGGGGGTGGGGCCCCCACCTCTGTGGGTTGGCCCCACCCCCATCTGGGGTGTTAGAGAGAGAAAGTTTGTGTTTGTGGCTAAACCTGGGTATTTCCAGGTGAGATGTTAAGACCGCGTGGCATGAGTGTGCGTAGTTCTTTGATCCAAAAGCATTCTAGGCGAAGTAATTCTTGCTTGATATGTTCGGTCGTGGTCACAGTGTCGATTGGTTGAACCTTCAGGTCTTTGTTTAGAATGTGACCTGGTTCGTTGAAGTGTGTAGCAATATGTGTGCGAATTTTGTTGATGATATGGGTGTGGTGGTGATTGATTCTGGTGTTGAGTTGTTGTGTTGTACATCCTACATACTGTCTGTTACATTTGGTGCAGGTGATGAGGTATATTATGTTGGTTGAGGTACAACTGAGTGAATGTCTTGTTCTGTAGATGGTGCGGTTTCTTGGATGGGTTGAGTGAAAAGTAGAGTTGCGAAGGAGGTGATATTTACATGTAACACAATGGGAGTGTTTACAAGCAGTAATTGTTGGATTATTGTGACTGAGGTAGGGGAGTTGTGCACTTTCGGTGTGCTCATTTGTTGGGGTGTCTATGGCCAAAGAGATGTCTATTAGTTGTTCATCTGTTTGTTTTAGTTTTGCTCTGACTAGTGAGCTTTGTAGCGTGGGATGGCGTAGGGCAATGAAGCGAGGTGAGATGAATTTGAGCTGTGCATAATTTTGAAGAACAATTTGTTTGAGTAACTTGTATTGCGGCGGTGGAATGCATTTGAAGAGTGGAGGTATACAGGTTGGTTGATGTTTTTGATGTCGTAGCAGGTATTTTTGTCTGCTTTTATAATTTACAGTGTGAAACACTTTGTCTATGAATATTGCAAGGTACCCTCTCTTAAGTAGTCTTTGTTTGAACAGAAACAGCATGGCACAGTATGATTGTTTAGTTGTGTTTGTACGGACATAACGTATGCATTCTCCTCTGATGATTGATTTGAACACTTGACTCTGGTGAGAAGATGAGTAGTGCAGGTATTGGTAAAGGTTGAGTGGTTTTTGAAAGGTTTTTGTATCTAAGATATTTGTGTAGGGAAAATTGGGACCCTTAAATATTGTGAGGTCCAGGAAGTTTATACTGGTTGTAGAATGTTCATGTGTAAATTTAAGGTTGGAATGAAACCGATTGAGGTCGAGAAGGAAGGACGTAAGTGTGTCTGTGGTGTCTGTCCAGATGATGAATATGTCATCAATGTATCTTGCTATTGTGAGTGGTTTGATGGGTTGTGTGAGTAAGAACAATCTTATAATGGAAGACATGAAGATGTTGGCAATTGTAGGAGAGAATGCGGCTCCCATTGCTGTTCCCTTTACTTGTTGGAACATCTGATGTCCAAATCTGAAGTAATTGTGGTTAATGTTGATGTGTAGCATTCGGGTTATGAAGTTTGGATCAAAAGTGAAGAGGTGGGGATGTCTGTGCATTTCAGTATGAATTATGCTTAGGCATTCAGTCTGGGGGATTGAAGGGTAGAGGTTTGTAACATCAACTGTGACTAGTATTGCGTCATCCGGTATGGTGACGTCTTGCAGGCGGAGTATAAGTGCTGTGGAATTTTGTACGTAGTCTGGGTATGATATTGCAAGGGGCTGAAGGACGTGGTCAATGAACTGAGCACTTGGTGAGAGTAGCGAAGATGACTGTGATACGATGGGGCGCATGGGTGGGAATTTGACGTATTTTTTGTGTATTTTCGGAATACCGTAGAATTGAAGGATGCGCGGGTGTGTGGGGCCTTCGCTGAGGAAGCGATGTGGTTGTTTATTAAGTTGTTCCTTAAAGGTGGTGGTGAGGCTGATCAGTTCTCTTCGTATGTTCTGTTTTGGGTACTCTTTTGTGGGTCTGTATGTTGTACTGTCCGTTAGGTGTAGCAGGCATTGCGATATGTAGTCGTCCGTGTTCATAAGAACAATGCCTAGGTTCTTGTCAGCAGGTTTGATAGTTAAAGTGTTTTCGGCATGTCTAAGTTTACTGAGGGCTGTCCGTTGTGAAAATGTAAGGTTAGGTGGAACATGGCTGCACACTTCAGGTAGATTGTCTGCCAATTCTTGTTTTGTGTTTTCTATCCAGTTTTCCAACTCCAGTGTACCTTTCTAGTGGTGTCCCTACTTTAGTTTTGGGTAAGAATTTCATATGTCTGTAGATGTAAGAGGTTGTGCAAGGCTTTGAAAGATGTTGGTGTGGTTTGCTGCTGGAGCCAGTGATGCGCATGTATCTAAGGCGTAAAGATTTAGCAAAAAGATTAAAACTCTGTAGCATTGTACGTGTAGTTCTGTGGGCTGTTGGTGAAAAGGTGAGTCCCTTATCTAGTAATTGGTAGTCTGTGGGTGTGTGGGTGTGAGGGTGTAGGTGCTGAGGTTGTGCAGTGTCAGCTCAGTGGTCTGTGGCTGGGGCATTTGGACAAAAAATGACGCCTGCTCTTCTTCGGTCTCCTTGGGTCTGGTTGAGGACTTTGTTTTCTTTTTTTATTTGTGGCATCTTCTACTGTATCTGACTTGTGAGCGTTGGGAGAGCTGAGCTCATTTTTAATGTTATTTTTTGTGTAGAACTGTTGGCGCAGTTCGTTGATGGTTTCGGGTGGCGCTTGGATTGTGGACAGCTGCTTCTCTGTCCGTTGGACTATTTCTTTGAGCCTTGCGTTTTCTAGCTCCAGACTGATGGTGTTGTGGGTGATGACTTCTTCAAGGTGACGGAAAAATAGCTTTCGGTATTCAGCCTCGAACCTTTCAGCTAACTCTTTGCTGTGGCATATGATTTCTGGTGTGGTGGAGGGGTAGAGACGTTTTGGAATTGTCTGGAACGTTTGGATGTTTTCCTGAAATTTCAGAGCTTTACTAAGCCTATTCTTGGTGGATTGGTGTTGTTGATACTCCGCTGTATTGAGCCTAAGCATTTGTTCTGCTGTTGTGGACGCGTTCATAGTCTATTTGGTGCAAGTGTAAGTGAATGTGAACTGGTTAATTAATGAACATATAGCTAGCTATGCCTGAGCACGCATGGGCGGCCAGTAGCAGTCCAAGAAACGTTAGACACGAATGGTGGGACGCCGCGTAGGGGCTCTGTAACCCCCCTCCGGAGAGGTACTGCCACTGGGTCGACAGTCAGGGATGGCCAACCCGGTCAGCCGTAGGCTTGACCCCGCACTCGTAAGCACGTGTGTGTTGTGTGATTTGTGAAGAAAGAGAAAAGGAGAAGGGTTAAGGAGAAAGGGGGGGAGAAGCAGGGCTGGGAGGGCTTTTGTCCGCATGACCCGGGCAGCAGCCCAACATTCATGCGGTCTTAGCCTAGGGACTTACTACGCCCGCACCCACGTGCGCAGGAGTATCATAGGTATGTATTCGGCCGGTCATCAGGGAAGTACCTATTTCCGTCATTGTATGACAACGGGTTTCGGTCCCTTTAACTTTCCGACCCGAGGTCAACTCTGGAATAGGCGGGGCCACTCCCCAGCAAGGAGTCCGGCATAAAATGTATACTTACATTACTGTCTATGTTTTATGCTGTATCCTCTCTTGACTTTCTCTCTGGCTCGTAACTAAGCAGCTTCTTAGTGCTTGTTGTATTAATAGTCTAGCTAGTTATGAATATTAATAAGTAGTGGTTTTTGGCACAGGATGTGGATACTATTGTGACAGCTGATTGTTGAAATATACATATTAATGTGTGTGTGTATGTGTGTCTGTTACCACGTTTTCTGCTACGAGGCACTACACTGGCTTGATTTTAAAACGGGCGATTTTCGTAAAAATACTGTGTTCGAAAGTTATGGCGTGAAAAGCAAGTGAACAAGCCAATATCCAAATGAAAAGCACTGAAGTGCAAACCCTCGGCGAACTGTGACGCACAATCGTAAGTAAACGCATGCGCCGTACCACTGATGGGCTGGGTTTAGCTTTAGCTGTTACTCGTGGTCTCTTGCCAGCTCACGCAGAGTCTGACGCGGTCTAACTACACTACTAGATAGCATGCGAGAGGCGATACACGCCCTGCGTTGCATCTTCTGGTGACTCCGAGGTACGCAGAGCACGCGGGTCGATCATGCCGTATATAGTAAGCCGTTGTGTATTTGCATATTGCCTTTTTCGCGCTCTAACTTTGCAACGGAGCGTTTTCAGAGAAAACCGTTCGAAATGTCTGACCTTCATTGCCCGTTCAGTAGGTGGTATCCTTTGTGAGACGAACAAACACCCGAGAAGTGAGATTGAGAGTAACAGACACACAGACCCAAGTACTGTAACCCTCACTGCGCATGCGCGCCGAGGGTTAATTAGCACAGGCTTACCTCGACAAGACGTTCTTGCTTGCATATATATATACCTTGGAAGCTAAAGAAGTCTCAACGGAGGACGTGTATCGACGCATGCTTTCTACTATACTGTAGCTAGCCCGTGTCAGACTCTCCGCAAGCTACTAGCGGAATAGGCGCATACTACGGCGCAGCCATCAATACTATCTATTATTACTACTGCTAAAATGCGAATTCTGTGGACTTTAGTCCATTTTTACCATTACTTAGACGGAAATTTCTATAGGCCTTCATGCAAAAGTGGTGATCTATGATGGTAAGTGTCCAATGAAAACTACACCGTGTAGAATCTTGAATGTAGAAATTTCCATAGGAAAATGGCGAACTCTAAATTCAACTGCTCATTTTCCTGGCAGAGATTTCCTCCCAGCTATGGTGTAGGTGTTACTACCTTCATGGATAGGTGTTTAGCATACACATTATCTGCACACTCTTACCTTTACTTACAGATTTACCAATGGTTATCAGCAGAAAGTATGTAGGGATAACTGACCCTCATAGGGGGCTACAGGTGGTACCTGAAGGCGGAGCAGGAATACAAATTAAGCTAGATGAGTTTATGAAACATCAAAGCCATGCTGTATGCTTCAGCGGTGTTTTTGAAATGAGTGCACAAGTAGTTGACTATCGTGCTACGCTGTTTCGTTTCCCATTACGAACTGATGATGCTGTATCAAAAATATCCAAAAATTGTTACACACCTGATAAAGTACTTGGCAACTTGTTTGCCTCATTGCAAGAAGAGGCATCAATCCTCCTTCTATTTCTAAGGAATGTAGTGAAGGTGAGTATGTATGAGTGGAATGAAACAACTCATAGCCCGGATTGTCTTTTCAGAATAGAGATTAATGGCAACATTAGAAAAAATCGGGAAGGCTGCACTAATCTTGCTAAATGCTACAACAAAACCAGTAGCAAAACGAGCATTATCATCAGCTCTATGAGTACCACCACTTGTGAGCCACCGGCACAGTCTTATAAAGTGCACAATTGGCTTGTAATGAATGCAATAGGAAGTGATTGTGGAGAACTGCGGGAACGTGCTCAGAAAACAAGTGTGTTACCTTGGGTAGGAATAGCAGCTCCTACTCTTGGAGATTTGAATATTCAAGCATTACAATTTGAACTACATGACATCAGTAGTGGTTCTGAGTCCTTTGAAGAGCTCTTGTCCAAATTGAGTGGACAGACTCAGAAAATAGTTTTTGAAGATAGTAAGTTTGAAGTGAGAGCTAACACTTCTGGACAGGCATTTTGCTTTCTGCCATTGCCTGGAGGCATATCTCTGCCTGTAAACCTTCATGGATACTTTGCCGTGGCCGACAATAGGCGCAGTATAAAGTGGCCATCCCATGACGAAAAAGGCGAGGAAGCAAAATGGAATGAATTGCTTCTTCTTAAGCTAGTGTCCCCATTGTATGCACTCATGTTAGCATGTAGAAGCACTCTAGTCGAATATAGTGGTCCCACATGTGATGCATATGCTGCCTGGCCAATTCATGCAGAAGTGAAAAACCAGCAAATATGGGCTCATGTACTTAACCCTGTTCTAGACCAAATTAGAGAGCTGCCGGTGTTTTGGGCAGCAACTCAGAATGGTGGGAAGTGGGTGACACTGAAGCAAGCAAGTTTTTTTATTGATGCAAATGATAACCCACCACAGATTGTTTTGAGGAAACTAAAAAATGCAGGATACAGCATTGTCCATTTACCACAGAATATTCTTGAGACAATGCTCTCAAATGATGACATGAAAAATATCATAACTAAACGTTATATGAAACCAAGTATGGTTCGAAAAGCTTTAAAAAATGAGAATGGTCTCTTAATTTCTGATGAGCAAGAAGAAGTATATGAAATGTTGAGATATATTCTTGATGACAAGCCTGATCTTATTTCACTCAGAGATTTGGAGGTATTACCTCTGAATAGTTCCTCTGAATTTGCAGCTGTAAATGGTAAAAAAGTGTTCTTGTTTCCTCAAAAAAATAAAGATGCTTTAACATTCTTGCCGGGAATTTCTTCTTCCATTATAGATGTTAAAATACCGCTAGATTTGCAACTAAAACTAGAAGATATAGCCCAACAAGATCAGTCAAGTTTGACGTTAGTAACAGCAAGTATTATCTGTAGTGATTTATTAACCCTCTCCATGAAATCTTGGTATCCAACCTTTGCTCGTAAGAGGGAGTGTTTGTGGGAGCCTGGTAGGTTACATCACCCACCACTGCAGTGGATTAGTGATATTTGGCTATGGATACAGACACATAATGCAGTCCAAGACATTAGCAATATTCCTTTAGTCCCAACTGAAGTCATTTCGGAGTCAACAAACCAAGTTACCCTAGTGTGCCTAGACTCAACTCCTGAACTTTGTACACTACCTACAAAAGGTCTTCCCTGTTCTCCAGATGACCTCTTGTCGATAGTCAGAAAAATTGGTGTGATTCACATTCCAAAGTCTGAGTACGTATTCAATTGCCCTGGGACAATGCAATTTATCAAACCAGTTGATGCACACTTAATTCTGAAGCATGTGAGGAAATTGCAATCACTTTCACTCACTGATTCAGCAAGAGACTGCTTGCGTGAGTACATTTCCAACGAGTTACTTTCTAGCAAACTTACTCAAGACAAAGTAGGTGCGATAAAAACCCTTAAAATATTCAAGGCTGGTGTTGGTGGGAGTGTTCAAAGCTATGTTTCCCTTGCTAATTCCAACTGTATATTGCCACCACATGGCCTATCATTTGAGGAAACTATTCAGTACCCATCAAATATCCTTTGTGATGGTGATCATTGTGTAACAGTCCTGCTTGAGAAGCTGCACATACCTAGAAGTGAATCAATCGATGAATTTTGCAAGAAAGTTATTCTACCTCAAGCAACAAAACAATATCCACTGAGCAGCAATGATGAACGGCTTATTATGTGGGTGCTGCAATGTCCCCTCTCAAGACCAGCATTCTTGGCTGACTTTAGCATTATAAAGCCATGCACTAGTGACTCATTACAAAAGCCAACTAACCTCTATGATCCACAGGAGAATGTGTTTTGCAGACTTTATGATAGAGAAAAGGATCCAGTATTCCCAGACTCCGTGTATGACTCAGTGTTGCATGTTTTGAGGCAGGCTGGACTCATTACATGGTCCTACATTTGTTCCGAACGTGAAAAAATGATAGCCTTCTTCAGACATAGAGCACAATCAATATCATCACTTTCCAAGTCTGCAGGACTTGAAAGAAGTAAATATCTTCTGCATCTGTTATTAAACAACAATATTGTGTCACATTTCTCAGATATCCCATTCTTGTTTACTCAACAAGTTCCACCTGCGTGTTACCCATCATCACTTGAGTGGTGTGGCAATAGCTATCAAGAGGCTATTTGTCCAAGAAAAGTGTGCATCACTGAATCGGATGCACTGGTGGTTGGAAGTGTAGTACCTGTTGCATCCAGTGAGTACCAGTTACATGGGAGTTGTGATGGATTTCACTTAATTTCTTCTGAAGAGAGAGTTTGCCATTTCAACAAAGTTGTGCAGTACAAACCAAGCACAGAAGATGATTTGGAGAAGTACCATAATGTAATCATGAAGGTTTATCTTTCACTTATAAAACAATTTACTGGAATATGTAAACTTCCTCTTGCCTGGATATGGTGGAGGAGCCGAAAAGAATTTCTGAGACCTGACCAATGTGTATTTAGTCTTCCCCCAGATATTGGGTCACTCGAGCCTTATCTTTTTAATCTTTGTTCGAATACAGACCTACAAGTGTGCGTAAAAGCCTTACTCCCAAAAGTTAACTCAGGAATTCAACAGTCAATGACACGTGACCAAGCAATTTTAGTTCTTGGAAAAATGAAGCGAGTGGAAAAGTTGACAAGTGGCGATATTCAAATATCTATACGCATTCTTAATTGGCTTAAGTCTTTGGGACCCCATACATATGGTGATATACTAGTACCTACTTCACTAAAAACACTTGTCTCAATGTCAGAGTGCACGTATGATGATCGCAACTGGAGCACAAAAGTTCAAAAATCGAAGTATACTTTTGTACATGAAGACGTGTCTCCAGCACTTGCTAAGCATTTTAATGTTATTCCACTCAGTCGGAAAGTAGCACCATCGCAAAATCTTAAACTGAAATACACAAAGGCTGGTCAAAAAGAACCAGTCACTCGAAGAATTAAGCGAATAGTTGAAGACTATGCAACAAGCAGTGACATTTTCAAGGAGTTACTCCAAAATGCCGATGATGCACAAGCAACTGAAGTAAAATTTCTTATTGACTGGCGAAAACACCCAACATCTTCCCTGTTCACTGAGGAGTTGGCAAATTGGCAAGGTCCCGCCCTGATTGCCTACAACAATGCCAAGTTCTCTGACCAGGATTTTGAGCATATATGTGAGCTAGCTGGGGAAACAAAGATGAAAGATCCACTCAAAACTGGTAGGTTTGGAGTTGGATTCTGTGCAACTTATCGACTAACAGATGTGCCAAGTTTTATAAGTCGGAGGTTCTTTACTATGTTTGATCCCCATACAACCTATCTGGGCGATAGAGTTTCTGCTGGGGAACCTGGTATGAGAATAGACCTGGTAGACAACAAAGAAGATCTATTAATGTATGAAGATCAGTTTAAGCCATTTGAAGGATTGTTTGGGTGTAATGTGTTTGACTTGTTTGAAGATGGGTTCCAAGGAACCATATTCAGGTTCCCATTTCGTTCAAATGAAACAGCAAACAAAAGCAACATATGTCAAGATATATTAGATGCCAATAGTGTAAATGAACTCATGCAGACAGTCAATAAGGAGGCATCTCATCTTTTGCTTTTTTTGAAGCACATTCAGAAAGTTTCGCTGTACATTTTTGAAGAGAATGCAAACGATATGCAGCAAAAGTTAGAAATATGTAGAGAATGTTATTGTTCTCCAGCATGCACAAGAGTAAGTCTCCTAAATCCATGTATGCAGACTTCAATTAATATTTGCCACTGTAAAATCACTAAAGAGGGAAACGAGCCTCATGAAGTATCACATTGGATCCTATGTTCTGCTGTCAGTCCAAGTGTAAAAGAAGAGAAACAACGTGGATTAATTCCATTTGCTGAAGTTGCAATACCAGTAAAAAGAGGTGAGGAGGGGATGCTTTTTCCTCTATCTGTTGTTGGTTACACCTTTTGTTTCCTACCATTACCAAAGAAAACAGGGCTACCATTTCACATTAACGGCTACTTTGAAATTGGTCGTGACCGCTCTGACCTAAAAACCTCTGATGATGGAAGGTTTGGTAAGGATTGGAATGATGCTCTCTGCAAAGAACCCCTGACATATGCCTTTATTTCTGGACTTTCTGAGCTAGCTAGAATGTCACCACTTTCACGAACTATTTCACTAGAGAAGAAAGAGACTTATTTAAGAAGCTACTACAATCTTTTAATGCTGTCAGACAATGCAGGCTTAAAAAGCTTCCACTCATCCCTAACGATTAAATTACCACAGTCAGAGAAACTTATAATTTGGTCTGATGTTGAAGGTGGCAAATGGTTGAGGCCAAAAGACATAGTAATATTAAATTTTTCCTCCTCAGTAGAAAAAATTTTAAAGCCTGCAATGGATGTTTTGCTATACCTCAACTACAAAATTTGTAACCTTCCTGATCATGTGAGTTGCTTTCTAATCCAGCATTTACGTAAAAGCAAAAGAAAACAGGTTTTCACATGCCAAGAATTTTATACAGAAGTAATGCTACGTTTTATAAGTCGTATACCAAATGATATTAGAGATGAACATATTACTTTCCTGTTAAAAACTTTAGACCGGCACAAATGGATTGCACCACTATTACAAAAATATCGATTTGTTCCAGTGGAAGGATGCAATGTTCTTATCAGTCCAAAGGAAGTTATTGATGCAAAAAATCCATTAATGATGTCGTTATTTGACCCTGAGGATGGAAGATTCCCCAAACAATTTATACAAGATGATGGTTATTTAATGTTAGGTTTTAAGACAACTGGGAATGCCAGTAGAACTATCAGTTGAAGAGATACAAGGGAGAGCTCGCACTGTTGTTGAAATTCCTAACAAAGCAAAAGCATTGAAACGTGCTTGGTCAATAGTTTCCTATGTTCAGTCTAAACGATACGGTATTAATAAACATAAATTGAGCAGTGCTGTAGGTGGTGTCTGTTTCTTACCAGTGGATTGCAAACCTCAAAATTGCCAAATTGCTTGGTGGGAAGGCAAAAGACTGGTTGAACCAAAGAGCATCTTCACACCACAGTGGAACAACCTTGTATTTTCTGTATGCCCAGTAGTTGCTCCACCTGATGAGTATAAGCTGAACCCTGATATATTCCCTCTTTTCGGGGCATCTGAAGAACTACCTTTGAGTCTCGTTATAAGTCATCTTCTAACCCTCAGTGAAGCATCTGTGTCATTTGATGAAGGAGCAATTGAATATGTTTCGAAGGCAGTTAAGGAGACATACAAATTTTTGCATATGAAATTGCAATATATTCCGGAGCATAGTGTGGTTTGATGTTAAGAAGAGAATAGCACAAAAAGGATTTATTTGGCAAGGCAATAAATTTCTTCGAGCAGATCAAGTTGTCATGGTGTGGAATAAAGACCAGTATCCCTACTTGTGTGCTTTGTCTTCGGAAAACCACGAATTTAAGGAGTTCTTTTCTAAGCTTGGGGTAAAAGAGCAGCCATCTGCAGAGAGTCTTGCTGATATTTTGCGCCAGATTGCTGGTACAACAGGGTTAGATACCGGTGAACTAACCATGCCAGTTGAAAGTGACAGGAAAATTTCTCACAATACCATTGACTTCATCGAAGAGGTTGTTAAGAAGCTATCTCAGCTTGTTGAAATGGACAAAAACAAACTTCCACAACAGCTGTATCTTCCTGATGAGTATGGTGTGATGCGGCCAGTAGAACACCTTGCTTGTGACAAAGTTAGTGATAACTGGGTCCAGAGTCTTGATTTGTTTGCTTCTCAAGCTAAAGATGGTACACTGCATTTTCTTAATGAGAATATACCAAGAAACAGAGCCATCAAACTAGGTGTTAAGCCTTTGTTAGACACTTTACTACAAGGTTTGGAGGACAACGAGTTCATGAGAGGTATTGATTATGGCCAACATGAGGATTTATGTGATCGATTGAGGTCTATTTTAAGTAAGTATCCATCTGATCACAGCATCTTGAATGAATTTGTACAAAATGCAGACGATGCTCATGCAACAGAGATTGTGTTTATCCTAGACCATAGGAAGTTCCCTTCAGATAAGCTCTTTCCTTCCCGACATCAAAAATGGAAAGATCTCCAAGAAACTCCAGCTCTTCTTATTGTAAACAACAGCAAGTTCACGGAGGAAGACATCCAAGGAATTGCCAAACTTGGCAGAGGAGGTAAACAGAATGCATCTGATACTATTGGACGATTTGGAATTGGATTCAATGTCGCCTACCATGTCACTGATTGTCCAAGTTTCGTTACCTTCTCTGAGAAAGGTGAACCTGAAAACTTCTGTGTCTTTGATCCAACGTGCAGTTTTGCTAATACAACAAAACATTTTCCTGGAAAGAGGTGGAAAATTAGCTGCTCAAAAGTGGTTACAGATCTTCCTGACCAGTTTCAACCGTACTTATTAAATGATGTTGAAACTTTGATGGAAGACTTAGATAAAGCACATGTTGTGTTTAGATTACCACTTACAAGAAAACCTGTTTCTATGAGCAAAAGTAGCTATGAATCAAGTCCTTTTCCATATAGAACTCATCCGGGAGTTTTACATTTCAATCAACAAAAACAGACAAGACTCGGAACAACCTTTACTACTCACAAACTTAAACAACTTTTTGTTGACATGGAATCCTATGCCCGTGAAACACTTTTGTTTTTAAATCATGTACAGAAAATATCGGCAGTTGAAATTACAGAAAGTGGTCAGGTTGTTAAATACTTCAATACTCGTATAATCATGTCACCTGAGGTTCGAGCCACGTGCACTATGTTTGCAAAAAATGTTAAAGAAATTACTCAAAGACCGAGGGAGGCTGAACAGCTTTCTCTGACATATGAAATGGAAATACTCCACAAAGCAGAAGTTGAAGAATGTCAGAAATGGCTTGTTTGCAAACAGTTCTCGCCGGGGAACATTGTACAGCATGATGAAGAAGGCTTGGAAGATTGTAGCTCAGAATGGAATAATATGAGACCAATTGGTGGTGTAGCTGCTGCTCTAGGAACACAGAATATCAAAGGGCTCTTATTTTGTTTTCTGCCATTGCCACTTAAGAATATGCTTCCGGTGCATGTAAATGGTCACTTCCTGATAGATGATTCCCGCAAACACCTTGAACAAAAGCGTAAGGAAAGTACAAATTGGAATATCTCTCTAGCAAAAAATGTTTTAGCTCCATGCTACGTTGACATGCTCATGCATGCACAGAAAATGACCCAAATTGGAAAGGCGAAAGAGGAGTGGTTCTATAAGCTGTTTCCTCCTAGTCTGAACATCGAAGGTGAGGTTGCAAATCTCAAACTACCACAACAAGTCTTCAAAATTTTGCATCAGAGAAATCCACCAATTTTACTTCAGAAACACCCAGACACTGCAAGTATGAAGTGGCTAACCCTGACTGGGAAGAACATGGGTTACTTCTTTCGATCATTTTTATCCAATGAGACAAGTCAGTTTGTAGAACCTGATCCTGAGTTACGTTGTGCACTTATTCATCTTGCAATGCCTGTTGTTACAAGTGAGGTTCCTCTATCTCTCTATGACAACTTTAACCATCTTGGAAAGCAATCTTTAGCGTATGTTACACCAGAGCTTATTGTTGATCACCTGAAAAATAGAGCGAAGAAAGCAAGAATGAAAGAAATCTTAACTGTAAACACTCTGCAGCTGCTTATACAGTTCATAATCGATTCAAAAGGTGTCAAATATGTGAAAGGGGCACTAAGTTCTGTTCCTCTCTTACTGACATCCAACAATCATTTGTGGAGTGGTAAAACAATATTTAAATCAAATTATGCCTCATTGCTCCCACATAGCTCAGGACACTTTATCCTCCCGGAGCTTGAGGAAAGTCCAGTCGGGATATTACTAGCTGATAATGGTGTTATAGTTGACCTTACAGTCGAATTTGTACGTGACAATATTGAACTTTCTGATACAAAAGTACCTGTGAATATTGCAAATATTTCGAATGAAAAATTTGAGCTTGTTAAAACGTTTTGGTTGTATATGAAAAGCTCCATTATTCATGGAACTATGAAGGATAATATGGAAAAACATTTTAAATTCAAACCATTGTTACCAACTGATGATAAACATTTGTATCCTATGAGTCTCAGCTCTACAATTGTATCCAGAGAAATTAAATGGACGGATAATAATATCAGAAGTGCCTTAAAGAAGTTAGGGTATCCCACAATATCATTTGAAGCCTTGGAGTTAAGTGGGGTTGATTATAGAGGATTAGTTAATCCTTGTCTGTGTGGAAGAGATATTATAGATTGCTTCAAACTGAAAGCTCCACTCATTCATGATGTAGATCTTAGTAACTCTGAAGTCAGACGCATTATTGAGTCATTAAGGGACCATCCTGAGCTGACAAGTTTTAGTACAACACTACGAAGGTTAAAAATCTTTATGACAGTTAGTGGAGAATTCATGGCAATGAAAGGAAATGTACAGGTGTTTGTACTGCCTCATGATGTCCCAAGAGGTGGTATTGAGTCCATTCAAGAACACTGCAAATCAAACTTTGTAATATTAGATGCCACTGATAAGTTAACGATGGACTTTTACAAGCAAATATTAAATAACATCGGTGATGAAAAAGTTAAAATATACAGAAATGTCATTTTGCCTCACCTGCATCAACTGCTTGTGCATTATATCCAAGATCATTTAAAACACATTATGTGCAATAGTGATCTTAGACCGTTGCAACAAGATCTTAAACACATCAAATTCATAAAGCTACCTAGTGGAGAGTTTTGTAAGATTGGAGAACTATGTCACGCACACAATACTTTTTTTATAACATTTTGTAGCAGCAGACTACTTCCTGATCCATGGAGAAATGAAATTGAAAAGTGGTTTACCTTTTTCAGGGACTTGGGTTTCAGACATGAAGTCAGTAATGAAGACTGGATTAGACATTCAAAGGAGTATGCAATAAAATCAACAAATCTTGGAAGACAAGCAATTATCGCTAGGAGTGAGATCCTTTTAACAACTTTCCTTGAAAAATTTAATCAGAACCACTTCAGTCCCAGTGAGTTAAATGGAATATCAGCAATACCTTTTATCTACCCTGATTATCTAGAGCCTGCCCTTATTCGAGAGATGAATATGCTCTTTGAAACTAAACACCATATCCCAAAGCAACTTTTCTGTTTTAAAGGTTCAGTCTTAAGTTCAAAGAGCCACCTTGCTGCACTCTGCAAAAATATTCTCCCCTTGTGTTGTGATATTTTGAAGGACAATCATAGTCAGTGTTGCTCGTTAGGAATTGAAAGCCCTGTATCAGCACAAACAATCATAAGCAATCTCAAAAAACTTTCTACTTCTTATACTTGTGTACAAATGTCTGTACAGAACAAGTCAGGGAATACTAACTTAATACAAATATTGCATCAGCATTTCAAAGAACTGAATAAGTTAAAAGCCTATCAAAATGATGTTAATCAGCTAAAGGAGACACAATGTGTTGCCATAAGTGTCCCTGATTCGTGGAAACGCCTTGTTCTTGTCAAGCCATCTCAACTTGTTAGGTCAATGCCATCAGGAATTGATCTCAAACCATTTTGGTATCAAGTTCCTCCTGATATAGCTGCATGTAATCACCTGTTACATGTCTTAGGTATTCCACAAGAAATTGGTGCCAATCACTGTGTTGAAGTACTCCATAACATTTACAAACAGTTGACACAAGTGGAAAAAAACCTTTCTAGTCACAATAAGTTTAAGAGGATTGCATTATACTCTTATAAACAGTTGGTGTGTACATTACGAAGGGGCTCTTGTGAACAGTTACCTGAGCAATTGTTCTTACCAAGTGAAGATGATGAGCTTGTTTCTCGTGATGAATTAGTGTTCAATGATGCTCCGTGGTACGCCCAGAGACTTAATCAAAGAGAAATGTTTAAATTCCTGAAACTTCCCCCTCCTGACACTAATGGAGAAAAGGTTCCACCAGAAACTTTAGGTGTAAAGAGATTGTCATCATTAGTTTGTGAAGAGGTTCATGCAAAAATGGAGTCGGAAGAATGGGCCTGCAACGATGAATCGTGCTATGCAAAAGACCAAAGCAAGCCAAGGTGCATTGTGGTTCACCATATATTAGAGTCGCTACAGTCAAACGAGTTGAAAGATGGGTTGCTTCGGGTGTACTATTCTGAGCGGCGGGAGCGTCCATCACAGCAGTTTGAACAGACTCTACAGAGACTTGATACAGTTAGAATCTCTTGTGTGACATCAGATGGGGTTCACACTGTATTGAAAAGAGATGATGCTATTATTAAAGGATCTGAGAGCACTGACAAGTATTGTCTGGCTTTGGTTGGTGCAAAAAGTGTTCGACTATTTATAGCTCCACACAAAGATTGGAATGAAGGCAACTTTACACAAGACTTATCTAAGGCTGTTAATACCATGTTACAAAATGAAATTAAAAATGAGGTTTACCTAGCATCAATGTTAAGGTGCGCCCCTAATGAAATTGAAGCTGAACTTGACAAGCAACAGGTTGTTCGCTATGATCCTAACAGCATTAAAGAAACAAAATACCTCCAGGCAGGTGAAGTAATGTCACTAGACCACTTAACAATTGCTGATTCCTTACTTATACTCAATTTCAGTACTGGGGAAGTTGTCCGCTATTATGATGAAATGAAAAAGACCATAGTCACTGCTAAAGTCGTACAGATCAGGGACTCCGTATCTTACAAAGACACCCTTGTTACCCTCTCACTGAAGGAAAGAGCAAGTGCTGATGAAGAAGATCAAAGCATAGTCCATGTTTCTCCAGCCTGTATCTTTAAGATTTTGACTCCAGCCCAGCAAATAGTGCTATTTTCCATTATTCCTGGGGAGTCTGAAATTAGAGCAACTGCAGAACCTGTTTTATTTGCACCTATCTCTAGTGAACCTGAAGATTTGACCTCAGTTCTTGAGTCTAAGTTTTTTAATGGTGTTTCGAGAGAAATGGCTATAATGCGCCTCATTGCTCATCTTCATTATGTCACTAGAAAGCTATGCAATGAATGTAAAGTTGTTCACTTTCTCGAAAAGCTACATTATTTTCTGGAAGGAGAGAACCCATTGCAGCCATTACAACATTACGTCCTTTTAATTATTCAAAACAATTTGCACGTCCCACTGCCAGCACATGCAAGTCAACCTAGTATCATTGAAGGCTATGCTATTCCCTCTGATATTGTCTCAATCCAAATGAGAGATTTCAGCCACCCTGCCAACACACAGTATTTTGGAGGTCATAGTGGCACAAGAGGGCATTTTTCTGGCCCAGGTACAGGAACTCAGCATAATGTTGGGTTACAACATACTACACAGACACGGGTTCAACACCAATCACGTTTCTTGCCGCCACTGAGGAGAACAGGACAACGGTCCCATTACAGACCTCAAAGATATCGTTTTCAGTACAGTTATCAGCAAACCCAACCTCCCCCACATCCAACATCTGAAAGACATGCTCAAATTTGGCTTGACCAGGCAAAAATGGACTACAGAGCTGCCATGTTTATGATGGGGCTCACTGAACTTACTCCTGTTATTGTTCCACCACCAGAACAATGTGTTACTGCCCAAGCAGCACCTCTCGAGCCGCAATTAGTCAAATCTAAGCAAACTGCACCAGATAAGCTCTTAAATAAAACTTTGCCATCATTAGCAAGTAATTCCAGTGAGAGTAAACATCTTCATGAGAACAGTGACGAGGAAGAGAAACCAGCGTTTGACTTAGATGCAGGGGATTTAGAGTCAAGTAACGCAATGGACGAAAGAAATTCGAGTGTGAGCATTATAAGTTCACTTCACTCAGAACGGGAAGAAGGTAGTGATAGGGAACCAAGCAGCACAAATTTCCCTTCAGTTGTGTGTTTCCTCTGCCATGAGGCTGCTGAAAAGTCTGTTAAAGGAGTGATGTACGCTTATTGTGGTCTAAACTCAAAATTGATAAACTGCAGTAATTTGATTTCTTTACTTCAAGAAGTTAAGGTTTCAAGCCATTTCCCCAAGGACCTGCTAAAACCAATTGAGAGATGTGTAATGCAAGTATGTGAGCATCAAAACAGGAGTCGATACCCAAATTTTCAGATTCCACCTTGTGCTCCTGCCATAGCTTATACCAATGCTAATGCTAGGGAAGCACTAATGGCAACAAGCCAACTCCTTCACTCATTGATTGAAGATCCCAAGATATCCCCAATCCTAAAGGGACTAGATGAACTCCCTGTTCCTCAGTTTGCATCAATGCTAAAGTCTCTAGATGGGAGTGATGGTAAGTAGTAGGACATATTACTACTCGGACTTTTCCTATAATATATGCACTAAATGTGCTGAAATCCATTAGCCTGCCAACCTTTCTGAATGGGTAATAAAGCAGTCGTTGCAAAATTTTATCAGACCTTTTCAATTGGTTTGGTTTCAACACTGAGATTCCTGATTAACTGCCTGAAATTATGTTCCTCTTCCATTGAGAGCAAAATTATTGTTTTTTGTGGCTTCAGTATTTTAATGGGATACAAAGTATGATTGTTTATTTACTACACAATCCATTGTTAATTTTTCAGAGTACCCTCCATACTGGGAACCTCACCTGCCTAATGAAAAGTTTAAGTTGTGTCTTCTGGATGCCAACACTGACGAGTTTGAGAGTATAGAGGATCATTTTCTGTCAACTATGCCAACTGCGGAAGTGAAAAAAATTCATCGCATTCAAAACCGTGTGCTCTGGCGAAAGTACCTGGACAAAAGCAGAGAAATGAAAGACTTTGGAGGAGGTGTTCTTAATGAAAAGCTATTGTTCCATGGCAGTCGTGAAAACAAACCGGAGCTGATCTGTAAGGGTGACGCAAGCTTTGATATGAGATTCAGCAAAGATGGACTGTGGGGGCGAGGGAACTATTTTGCTGTGAATGCATCATACTCAAATGGTTTTGCCTACAAGGAGGTTGACCTAGGCCTTAGGAATATGTTTGCTGCATGGGTGCTTACTGGGCATAGCTATGAAAGTCCACAACATCCTTTTAAACACCCACCAGAACGTGATAGTAATTTTGACGAACACAGCCAAGTTAGCAGACGATATGAAAGTGTTACTGGAACAACAGGTGGCAGCAGAGTCTACATCACTTATGACAATACACTTGCTTATCCAGTTTATTTGATCACATATGATGTATCTGACAATTAAGTGTGTTACAAGCATATCAGTCTCGTAGAACTAGTTGTAAGATGTAGCAAGGATAATGTAATCTATTGTGTTATCATCAGTTATGTGCATTAAATTTATATTCACGTGAAGCAAGCTAACTACTTGCCTGACTTTTCCAAAGATTGCATGAAACGTGGTCACCCGTCTTTAAAAAGATGAGCAACATTCCTATTAACTATCAATTATTAAGTAGTACAAACTGTTTTTCTATGTACACTGTCAGATTATTGTGGGGGAGTTAAGATGTTCCATTGAGGTCCAGATATCCGGCCATTTTCTCCAGACTGGTTGAAATGACAGTCACAAGTTGAGAGAAACTTGGTCTCTTCCATGGCTCCCTACTCCAACACCCCCCTCATCATATCATAGCTAGATAATTATCAGTGTCGAATAATAAATAAATTCCAACACCCTTCATCATTACATTACTTGCCCTACATTTCCTGTGAGCAGGCAGCATTGAGGGGTTTGTCCAGTCTCTCTCCACTCTCCAGATATCTGATGAGAGAAAAGGGGTCCACTCCAGGGTAAGGGTTCCTCCCTAATGAGAACACCTCCCAACATGTCACTCCAAATGACCACTGCAAAACAGCATTTGCAAAACGAACAATAATGCATTATAATTATATAGAATAAGACAAGAGAAAGGGGTGCTATAAGGGTCTAGCTACTTCATAGCTACAATAAGATATACAAAAGGACTGTATGCATCGCAATGAGAATACGTAAGTATCAATTGGGAGACACTCTACCATCTTGCGACACAGGTGTCATAATATCAATTATAATAGCATTTTTGTTAAGAATAATACTCATACCACATCAGTTTTCTCAGAGAATACTCCATCATTCAGACTCTCCAGAGCCATCCACTTCACTGGCAGCTTCACTGGAACATCTCCATCTTCTTGTGTTGACACTTGTCTGAAATAATTTCTGGCATAGATATCCTCTGTGAGACCAAAGTCTGCGACCTTTATCACATTATTCAGATCAATCCTACATTCAACATCAAGCGAAGTGGTCTTATTCACCATGAGACAATTTTTCCTTACATGCAGTTCCTTGCCGCAAGATCTCGATGGATGAATTTCTGACTTGCTAGATACTCCATTCCTTTTGCCACTTGCAAACACATGGACAAAAGTCTAGAGCTTCTTTCTTCTACCTGCATGATACAGGTTTAATTATGATGAATGATCACCAAAATGAAGTTCTACGTAATGATGCTGTACCATATCTTCATCCTCTATGGTCAGTGATGATCTGTTTTTTCTCAGGTACGACTGGAGACTGCCTTGTGCCATTAATGGCATGACGACGAAGAGTGAATTGTTTTTGCTGATTGACAAACCTAACAGCTTTATTACATTTGGGTGATCGAAATTGGCCATTATTTGACTCTCCTGTGCAATTTTCCTCAGATCACTTGATGTAAACAACCCTACAAAGTTTTGTCATGAAAGCGTGTTTATCAGTTCATAAACTTAAAAAAACACAATCAACTAACCTTTCAAAGTCTTCACTGCTACTATGTCGTGGTAGTAGCCCTTCCAACCATGTAATATTGCTCTGTACACAATTCCGGACTCTCCTATGTGGGTCCATTTATGGGAAGTTGCAATTGCAATCTCTACTTACCTTCACCAATAATGACACCAGTAGTAATGCTACTGCCAGGGATAAGAAGCATATTCTCTGACATTTCTTGTATCACCTCAGACAACATGGTAGAAATGGTGCCAGTTTCTCCTCTTACCTCTGTAAAGTAAAATAAACAGCCACGCTACCCTCTATTATTATAATACACTGCCTTACCTATGTCTAGTTTGGGAGCAGTGGCTTCTAAACTGTTTTCCACCCTGAAAAGGTAATATTTCAAGACATTTAAATATATGAGACTGACATTACTTTACTCTCCGGATCCTTCTCTGTTTTAGCCGTCTTTTAAGCAATATCAGAGTGATGAAGATAAGGGCTACAATCCCACAAGCACCAAAAAGAAAAGCTACTATGTAGTAATACACAGCATTGCTGCTTGGTCTTCGCCGTCCATCAGTGGTGATACTTGTGTTGGAGTAAGCTGAAAATTTATGTGAATTGTTAACTATCTACCTTATTGGAGAAATGGACTTACAGATGTTCAGACTGAGCTCAGTACAGCAGTGTGGCAAAGGAGTCAGGTATTTCCCGGGGAAGTCACAGTCTATCAGCTGGAGTCCTACATTTTCTATTATGATTCTATTCAGCTCAAACTGTTCTAGAACCATGGCCCACTCATTGGGACAAAGCTGAGGTAAAAGTCTGCACTGTTCAGAGCAGACAGCTGTAGGAGGAGTGAACTGTTTCTGTCTCCCACAAGGGGGCAGGTAGTAATGACACAGAATGTGCAGAGCAATTTCTTTGCATTCTTGTAGTGGTTCTAACATGAGCTGACCGTACACTGTGATTTGGTTGATCAAGTCTGAAAAACTACCGTCACTTCTGTTGTGGGGAACATAGATATAGTCCACATCAGGTTCATAGAAATCGTCACAAATGGTTTCGAAGTTGGCTTTGAACTGTACACAGGACCCATACCTATTGACAAATATATTGGTCTGCTCTCGCTTCTCGTGCAAATATAATACAAGTACCACCACACCAAAAGATTTACCTTTGTGCACATCCATATGAAGGCAATTGCAGGTAAGTGTCAGTTTTATTGCATACTGGTGGATTTTCCACATCAAAAACCAAATCACAGGTCTCTACATTTGAAATTATCAAAATCGTATTGCTATATGTGTTCATGCACATGCATAGGAATATTACTGTTACAATTTATAAGAATGATGCTGAAGACCACAATATGTATATACAAATGAAGTACTTACTCTTTGGGCTTAGACTTAAAAGCCTATGCATTACTATCTATACTTCAACAGCTTGAGAACAAGGATGTTGAAATTGCAAAACCAACCAAAGCAGATGTACGCTGTACAGGAAGTATTCTGTATTCTGCAGGAAATATTCCGAGTTCCTATCACTGTGCTAAATGGTGCCGTAAACACCAAATAGCCAATTTTTGGTGCAGCAGTTGCAACAAGTTAGATCAGTTGGTATAATACTCTGTCATGGTTTCATGCACATATATAATCGGAAAAGGATAGCAAATTTCTATTTTAAAAGGATAAGAATCTCACGACCTCAGTTTTATTGCTTATCACAAACTGCACATGAAACCACTTAACCTTTTTCTGGAACAAAAAGTTCTTCTTCATCCAGTCGAAACACCCACACACCTGGACATTCAATGTTTGTTGTTGACGTAATCCTCAGAATATCCCGACTGAGTGAGCCAGGAATTGTGTACGAGCTGTTCCCATTACTCCCTGCACTGTACCCAGCCAATGCCTGGCCTCCTCTTGATGATTGGATGAGACCATAAAGATATATGGCATAGGTGTGGTCACCATCAACAGCTATTACACATTGAAATGTGTTGTTCTGAAGGAAGACATTAATTTGTTCAACAATGTTCAGCTCCTAGAATACAAAACTACATTGGTATGTACCTGTTCGGTATGCATTTCAAAGTAGCCAACATGATCCCATGTGGCAATAAAGAGATAGTCAAGGCTGAAAACAGATGGGTACACAATCTGCACATGACTCAGTGCCTGATCCAGCAAAATTGATTCAGTAGTCTGTCGATACCAAATGTGGCCACCATCAACCCCCCTCGTGTCTACATCCAACCGGTAAGGTGAGATTGTTGGAAAAGAAACTTCATCAAGATGGCTGGATGTGAATGGCACTCCAGGGGAAATATTTCCATTGATGTTTACCTATGAAGATGTAGTGAGATTATTGGCTGGTAGCTAACAGAATCTGAAGTGTCAATCCCTCACATGTATGACACTATAGAGTTTTCCAAAAAGAGTAAATCTTTGACTTAACGAGATGGGAGAAGATGAGCCATCATCACCCTGAGGTAGAACACTATCATTAGCCTCTGTACCAAATGGGTAGAAGTCACTAAGTGAAATAGCTCTCACACCAGAACTCAGTAATAGCAATAATGTTAGCATAATTATCTTCTTAAGCACTAACTCTTCCTCAATACTGCTAGATATAGTGAGCTGAAGTTCACTTTTGCTATGTTATATAGATCCTGAGAACTGTAATAGACACTCCCACTAGAGGGCAGTATGGAGTAATGCACATTCCATAAATTACTCTTGATTATTTAGCCCTAGGTGTTGAGTTCTGGCATCTGGTATGACATAGTGCAGATGCTGATGTCACCATGGCATTACAACCAATTTCTGCTCACAATGTCACATTGGGTATAGGTGGACACTAACACCTATACACAACTTACTCTTTAATCGACCAACAGTCATGACTAACAGTCACAGCTGCTGAGCTGAGTGGCTAGAGTGCTCTGCGTAGACTGCAGTTTCGAGGGACCCACCCAGTACTGCTTCTAGAATGAATTTACCTGGGTGTAGTTGTCATGTTTACCTTGAACCATTGCTGTTAACATTCTAGCAAGTGACAGTGGTAGCAGGTCCACCAGTGGAGATACAGGCCAGGGTGATCTGAGGACTGGCTTCATTGAGGTCAGAGTCCAGAGTGAGTGACATTGTTGAGATGGCTCCTGGAGTAATAGCCCCATAATGTCGGTGAAAAAACACAGGGAATAATAACAGATTCAGCAGGTACACACAATTAGCTGTAGCCATTCACCTAAAGAGCTATCATGCATATAATGTGTAGCTTAGCAGGGAATATACCTCCACTGCCCGTGTAGCTATAGCCCCACATAGACTGTATCCCTTACTGAGGTGTCAGTATCATCATGGACAGCATTAGTCGGAACATCACAGCAATAGATTCCACTCGGTGAGTTAGCTCTATTTCGACAACCTAGGTAAATGCTCCGACTTCTACGCTGCTCATTGATACCACCATCTCCACAGAAAATGGCAGTCTAGTTCCATCAGGGAAATACAGTCTCCACGTTGGACTCCCTGAGTATTACTACAACATGTGCTCAGATCAGTGACACACTCAACACTTTCACCACCACGATGATCTCCTACTAGACTGAGGTTCGCAAGCAATGGTTGGCCAGTGAGAGTCTGACCCATGAAGGAGACATAGGGAAATGTCTGGCAATAAACATCTCCCAGAGACCAGCAGACTAACACCAGCCATATCAAGTAGATCACAGCCATGTTTCTCTATTCACACAACTGCTAAATAAGCCGAAAGGATTATCAGTACTACTAGCTACCCACCAACATCATGGATTTAAAACTCCGAACAAGAAACAACCAGCAGAACAGAAGTATTGATTATCAGTATAATTATACTACCGATCCACCCACATTACGAAGAGGGTAATGAAAATGGTGGTTTACATTAGAAGCAATCTCAATACTTCTAACAAGAAACAACTGGCCAAAGGAAAAATTATTTATATATCACCCTCATAATAAGGCAGACAACAACCCTAACCTAGTCGCAAATGGTGTAATTTTGCACTTGTGTTCATTCTCTCATCAATGAATGCATGAATTGTTCTTTAGAACAGCCTTGTTTACTTAAGCAGAAAAGCATACACCCAGTGTTTACGTCCAATTCCAAGCTCCTCCCACTAGTCTCTGTAGGCCACGACAAATTCTGCAATGTGTTTCTCCATCTCCTCCACCAGCTCTCCAGGAGTGAAACTAACCGCTTGAATGTTGTATATATACGTGACTGTCTGTATTGAACCTGCTTGCCTACTTATTAGCATAGGAACATGGGGAAACAAAAACAGCTAGAACTTACACTACAGTTATGTATATACATCTCAAAGTTCGCAGCATACTCTATGAGTATAGTTCACCAGCCTCCGAGATGACAGATGACCAACTCTTTCTTACCTTTTTGGTGCTTCAAGCCATCCCTATATCCTTTTTTATTCTAAATACATGCACACATTTAGATGACTAGGCCACTTTGCTTGCCAATAATCATCATCTCACAATTTTGGATGGGAGTGACAATGCAGCCAGAACAGTTACAGCTGTTTATTTGACCATTTTGTAGCCCTTTACGTAGGGTGTTTAAATGAAGGCGAATGAGAAGACACCTACATAGAGACAGAAAGTTATTCACAGCCCAATAGTTGCTAGTAAATTGTATAAATTGTATAAATTGTGAATGCCCCCAGAGAAGGACATAAACCTTATGATTAAAAGGCACCCTTAGGGTGTTCTGTATCACACCTCAAAATCAAACCCTCAGCGTACCATGCATGCAGGGTACCGCTAAAGGTATGGATTTACTATTGGTCTGCTGCTATACAGTTTCTTCGCTCGCGGGAGTCCCTCTCAGCAGTTCATTATTAAACCCAAAACCATTCATATTATTATACATACTCCCTGTACATCTTATGTGGTAGGATAATGCAAATTAACACCCCCTTCTAAATATTATTATAGATCTACCCTTCTGTGGCGAAATCTGTGGAAAATCGTGGCAGGGTTCCCCAAATAAAATATCTATTGCAGTTTAAAATATCAATAGTGGCTGAAGCAAACTCCCAGCTTCTGTTTTTCATAAGATGGTGCAATCAGCAATAATCACTAATAGTTTTCATGTGCATTGCTCCCAAAATACAAACTCTTCTATTTAGCTAAAGAGTCACACTATATATCTAAGCTACACTAAGAACTAGGGCACATAGAAGAAGGGAAGGATGAAACTGCAGCATATACCAACCAGGAGAAGGATCATCTGCTGCATCAGATGACAGCAGTGGCAGCCACACACAAGACTCCGATGTAGGTGATAATGAGGCTGGGGATGGCCCAGGGGGTCACTGTACATGGCTGAGGTCTCGGGAATTGCGACAGAGCCTGAAAATGGATTGTTTCCCCACATCTCCCCCATAGTGAGACAGTTATTGCTTTAGGATTGGAAGAGAAGTTTGCCCCTAGACAAGGCTCGCAGAGAGCACAGCACGATCCTGGAATATCTTTAACGTACATGCCTGGCCTGCATCCACCATTGGCTCTCTTCTCAAGCTGCCATCACTCTTCAGACCAAACTGCATGTCTGTGCCGTTCACAATTGTCAGCTTTCCACTAAGCCAAGTCCCAACAGTCACATACTTGTAGCCAGTTATGTCTCCAGTATAGGAGAAGGTAGCCTGATAGTTACATATCTCGTATGACCCAAGTACACCTCCTGAATCATCAAACATGATGGACGTGTTTGTGATGTTGACTTTGTCAATGTACTCCAGTAAGGAAGTATCATTAAGCTCTCGAGTCTGGCCAAGGCATGTAGAATTCTCATTAAAACACACAAATGGTGCAGAGCCTGTTGCTTTGCAGTTTTCAACAAGAAATTTATCAAGAGTATTAGGCAAACAGTATATACCGTATCCACCACTAGTGGTATGAAGCTTTCTTGCTGGTATTGCGGGAAGCTGGTGATGTTGGTATTGTTGTCACAGTTGTATTCCAGCGTGCAGTTAATGGTAGGAGGCTCGGTATTGCACGTGCCCGTTGTACCAAGGTTCGTGTCGGTGATTATGAGGTCGTCCAAGCCCGCCGCCGTCTCGCTGAAGCGGATATCGTAGCCAAGCTCCACGCCCGGGAGGAGGTCTGAATCCGTTTATCTTGTCTATATTGCGTACAGCATCGCCTCCATTTCTGTCGCTATCCGCACCTCTCCGCATAGAGCTCCTTCCGTATCTGACCGATCTTCGTGGATCGGAAAAAAGTCCGCCCATATTGTTCGCACGACTGCGGATTCCACGGATTCTTCCACCATCTCTTTCCCGCAGAACCTCAGACTTGTTCATGTATTTGAACTCCGTCTTTGCTCCTGAAGACGAACAGTAATATCGCCCCAAGACTTACGAGTGGAATACATGTCACTGCATGGCGCCTCGGCATTTCATCTGCTCATCTATAATATAACTGTAAATTCCGTTATGTAGTTTTAACACACCAAAGTGTGTAGAACCTTAAAACTGTGCTGTTTTTTTCACAACTGCACAGAGGAAATAGTGCGTAGTATGTTCCTTGGACATGCCAGGATTCATTAGTGTGTTGGATGTTGCGCAGCACCGATTAATAACACATGCTATTTTAAAAACGACGCATGTTGGTATATCAAAACAGCACAAAGATAAATTTACACATCAGGGTAAATGTGTCACATCAACAGAGTGAGTGTAACAGGTCGGTTTTACACATTTATCATAAGCACAGTTTGTGTATTTTTCGCACATTTTGACACATTTTGTTTTTGCAATAAGTGTACATGTCAATAATAATGTGCACTATCTGAATACAGCACACTACTCTTTTTTATTTACACACAAGGATTTGTAATAGCACATGTGATATTAACAACTTGGTAATGTCAAAACAGCACAGACACAAAATAACACATCAGCAAATTGCGTCACATCAACTAGTTAATGGATATTTTAAGAACATTTCTTTTACACTTGCCTATGAGCACCACCTTTGGATATGTCACCAGTTGAACTCAAGTCAGCAAAAGGAAATTTTTTATACAGACTTGATGAGGTTAAAGGACAGGCTACTGTTGACTTTAGCTACTTTGGCGATTTTTAAGATCTTTATATCCAGCTATATTGCGGGAAGCTGGTGATGTTGGTATTGTTGTCACAGTTGTATTCCAGCGTGCAGTTAATGGTAGGAGGCTCGGTATTGCACGTGCCCGTTGTACCAAGGTTCGTGTCGGTGATTATGAGGTCGTCCAAGCCCGCCGCCGTCTCGCTGAAGCGGATATCGTATATATGCTTGTGCTTAAATGTCGACAAGTCAAGATCCATGGTGTAGAATACAAAGAATGTTCAGTAGTGAGACTAAAGTTGCGTCCTTCCTCATCAAATCCAAATCCTTACAACTATGGACCAGTCTGTTTACCATGAGGTGAAGGTTTTTTGTCTGCAAGGTGTATGATGTTGTGAAATAATATGATGAGCATTTTGCATGTGTCCAACTTAAAGAAAGCCATTTGAACATGCTTGTTCCATTCAATTAGTGAGTTTTCATAAAACTCCGAGTACGTGTATCGTCATTGAAAAAGATCATCCACATGCATTTTTGTTGTAATTCGCCTTGGTTTTGTTCTAATCTTCACTTCATAAAATATGATAGTTTCCTTTTTGGTGCTTCAAGCCATCCTTATATCCCCCCGTCTTTTTGAAGAAATGATTTTTCCACTAGTTTCCACTATTTTTAACAGCTTATGACAACACTGCATTTTATTGTTACAGTCACTCTGATGTTCATGGGTATGTTGTAGATAGGCCAAACTCTAACTGTTGAAAGCAGTAGATAATGGGCTGCTATATAGTGTCTGAAGCGGGGGCTGGAGACCACATTCACCTAATGTATTGTCTTCAACAAGGATGTAATTAAGTTATTGCACACGGTTGTAGTTTCATGAGCAGGCTTGAAGGAAAAAAAGGCAACTAGGTCTGGATTGAGTGAGACATGTCATAAATGTCTCAGCAGGCTGAAAGGCAGGCACAGAGGCTGTGCGTAGGTCTGTAAAACGGCAGAAAATAAAGATCGCCACAGTGCGTGCGCGGGATGAAAGTGGTGTGTCGATTTGGGCAGAATTACACATGCGCGTGCAGGAGAGATGCTGAACACGCCGATCAGGCGCAGAAGCCGAATTCGTGATTGAATATAGAGAGTCTACCGACTATAATTATTTATGCATAGTAATAGTAAAAAGATAGAATGTGTAAATGAAATGGCATTAAAGTGAATGAACATGCAACTATGTTCCAAGCCAGTGCAAAATGTTGTAAACTCATGTGAGATGTATGATACTATGCCATCATTGCTGCTCCTGCTCTGGTGGCTTTCAGTTCAACACCACTGCCAGCATACCCAGTTCCTCCCTATAAGTTTAGAATGAATCCATATAAAAATTATATTTACAAAATCTTACTCTTTGAAGGGGAATCAAGTCCTTTTCTTTTAGAGTTTTGCCAGTTATGGGACAGAGCATGTTGCTAGTTCGAATGAGTTTGTCCACACACTCCTGAGTCACAACATCTCCACTGCATGTACATACAAGGACACGTTTCAGAACGGATAAAAGATAAATAAAGAGACCAATGCCTAGCATAAAAATGACACGGTAGTGGCATATGGGAGCTATAGGGATGGCCACAACTGTACATATGATGCTTAAAATATTTTCTTGACACACACCACTCATATAAGTGCTGTATATAATGCAATGTTTCCAAATCCGTGACTGACACGTAGTCGCTTGTGGCATTCTAAGCAGCTATATAGCAAAGTTGTAACAGTGTTGAGCTTAATATGTTCGAGAGATCCGTTGGTACAACACAAGTACTTTACGTTCTCACAAGGGAAGCCGGATTCAATATGCGGGCTAGTGGCTAAGGAGACAAGCAACAGATGTGATTGACAGACATGCTGTGGCAGTGTTCTAGGACAACACTGGGTGTGGGCCAAATCTCCCAGAGGAGGACCCTGTTGTTAGTGTAATGATGTAACATTACTAAATGAGTACAGTAGGTGATTTGGAAGCTGCCAGCTGGGTCCAGTATCTTCTGGATTCAACAGTGGATGGGCTTGCATGTGAGTCTGACAGTGACACCGATCACACCATGTACTCGTGCAGGGTCCTAAAAATCTAAGACGTTGGTTCAAGAGGCCCTCGGTTTGCTTTCAGAGAAGGACACGTTGATTCTTGGTGGCTCTTTCATAGGATAGATTGAAATGTCCAAGGAGGCCTCCTTTCACTCCAAGTCCATGATATTAGAGCATCGGTAGACGCTCCATATAGGGTGTCAAAGGGTCAAATCTCATGTGATCCGGGTACAAAACGCCTATGTTTTCAATTACTCGCTAGGCTTCACAAATCACTGGCAATAGTCTACAGGCCAATATGTAGGAACCCCGCTTAACGGAACAACTCGCAGGTCCCGATTGTTTTATCATAGAGTTCCGTACGTTCATAACACCTCCTGAACGGACACAAAAAAAACCCGCGTAACGGACAGTTTGCCGCACCCCCTGCCAGCGAATATAAATAACAACATTGTTACAACAGAAACTGCTTTAGAGACGCCCATCAGTGCGAAGAGCTTCTACTAGTTCGTTTTGTTTATATATAAAGACTTCGCTCCATAAAAATGATACATACGTGCAGGGAATCTCCAGCCCATAGCCAGCTCCACGATTGATTTTCGGGCCAGTAACTTCAACTAGTCCCTTGTTGACGTCTCTCCTAAGAAAGGGCGACACTAATGAATGGGACGTGGCCGACAACACTGCCAGTTTTTTTTATAGCAACGGCGAACCTGTCCTCATGAGTTGTTGGTCTCCCGCTCAAGCGGCAATACCCTTCACCGATGCGTGGGTTCCAAATGCCCATATAGGCATGATAACCTCTCACATAAGACTGAACTTCCAAAGAGGTAATCTTCTCTGCCCCTGATAGGCTGGCTTGCCATTTTCGACTCGAACCTGGTCAAGGTAGCTAATGTACATATAATACATACGTGGGACTAGGTGCATCGAAACATGGCTTCGACCAGTCGCAACGCTCTGACACTCGAGAAAAAGTATGAAGTTCTGGAAATGGCTAAGAATCGGTCAATGACTGTACGCGCGCTTGCAGATCATTTCTAATGTGGGAAGTCTCAGATCGGTTAAGGTGCATTATCGAAAGCTTTTTCTCTGATTTGTAATTTCAAAGATTGACGAATGCAATGCGGTCTCAGAGGTAACCAAGTCTGTTAGTTTGCTTCAAGCAATTCGTTGGGTTGCTCAGGCATGGAAGTTAGTAAAAGAAGAAACCATCTCTAAATGTTTTCAAAAATCCGGTGTTTTGGATCGTTTGGAGGTGTTGCATCCCGTGTGCATGAGGACCAAGACCCATTCGTTGAATTAGATTCAGCACATCCTACTGCAGGATTGGATGATCTTATTAGTCAAGTTCCAATGCCAAATGAGGCAAGATGTTTTGCCAGTGAGTATATATAAATGGAGAGGATCTTCCTACATGCTCAGAAGAAATGTGGGAAGAGGAATTTTTCGCATCTATCATTCAGACCAACATTCTTTGGATGAAGAAGAGCCCGATGATGCATAATTTGACATTGAACCACCTCCTCCTAAGATAAGAAGATTTAGTGAGGCCATCAACTCACTAAATCATTTCTTGATAGGAAAGGACATAGCAAGAAAGCAACTGTGGTATCTACAGCTATTGATCTAGTGGCATCCCTTAACTACAATACCCTAGCTTTGGGTAGACAGAGTACGCTGGATGAGTACTTTCTAACTACTGTCATCATCATCATCGTCATATCATGTTGTAATCTTGTCTAGAGTGCTTTTAAGGATGTTAACAGTGAATTAGTGACATAGAATTGTGTAATACTGTATAATCAAGCAAAACCCCTCCATAAAAGACACCCCGCTATAATGGACAAAATGTTGTGGCTCTAACTTGTCCGCCTTAGAGGGGTTCCACTGTACTATGCCCAAAGACTTTATACGTGCCTCAGTTCTCCACACGAGAATTCGCTCATACGCGATTTCATGATTTTCGTCGTCATCATCATCATAATTCTTCTTCTTCAGACCCGCTATCTCCTTACCAGAATCAGTTGCTGTGCTGATTTTTTCACTGAACGTCTCCAGGTTCCACAGAGGTGTGCACGCCCATCAAGCGATCGTTTAATCATTTCGCAAGTCCCTACAGTTGATCTTTTAGCTCCACCGTGGTAGACACTAAACGACGCCATTTCCTACTAACTCAGCAGCACCTGCCATGCAGGGGGGCGTTGTCCAGATGCGCACGGGCGGCGCAGTGGGTTCCTTCGGTAGATTTCGGGCTGTTGGTTTGCTCTGTAGTTCTTACTGCTTTGTGGTGTTTCAGTGTCCCTGCTTACCAAACTAAATTTGCTCCAGTGCATAGTGCTTGCTTTGTCAAGTTGAATCACTTCATCGTCAACGCCATGAACATCAGAGTAAAGTAAATGCTATGTAGTCAGAGTGGTTCATAAAAAATGGAAACAAGTGGAAAAATCATTTCTTCAAAATGAAGGGGATATAGGGATGGCTCAAAGCACCAAATAGGACGGAACAAGGGGTCATTTCACAGCTAAGACACACTCATCATGACACTATCCCTATATCTTTGTCTGATCGTACTTCTCCTATTAGTCACTAGAACATACATAGATATAGGGATATAGTGTCATGTTGATTGCGTGTCTTAGCTGTGAAATGACCCCTTGTTCTTTCCTATTTGGCGCTTTGAGCCATCCCTATATCCCCTTCATTTTGAAGAAATGATTTTCCCACTTGTAACTATGTGATCACTTGTATTAGACCTTGTTGGACCTCTAAAAGCAAGGAATTTTAGGGATGACTTTTTAGACATGAAGCAAGCCAAAGCTAGAGTAATTTTTGTCCAAGTTATATACTACGTACTTTGTATTTTAAGAGGCCAAATGGAAAAAGAAAACAGTATGAAGTGTCGCAAGAGTGAAATTGTGACAATAAGTCATGCACCTATCGATCAAAGGGCTGTTACAATCTGAATCTTACGCAGTGCACGGTGTGCCCGGAATGTCAAACAAAATGTTAGTATTGTATTTCGTGAAACAGCAACAGTGATGTGGTTGTGTGTGTTGTCTCTTATGCTAAATATAGCACAGCAAGAACATCCAAAAGTATTACAATTACACCCACACACTTATGAAAATGATAGCTGCACTAAAATGACGCGGCTCTATATCATAAAACTCCTGGTACTTCTTCTATTTGCGATTTAGCCTCAGTAACTTCTAGTTTCTAGTGCACAGAATACTGCATTAGCAGTGCATGTAAAACAGTAACAACACAATGGAGACGGTTTGGATCAGCAAAAAAAACGGAACGGAAACTTTTCCATTACGCACACTGTATATTATGTGTGAACGAACCTTTTTGATGTTTCGCCGCACTTACAGTGCAACATTAATTTTATAGCGTGAACAAATTGTGTCTACAATCCCAGTTATGTAGTCTATTCCAACACCAAGCATGAGTATAGATTGTACCTGGGCCTTAGCAGTACACACGCTACACAGTCGCTGAGGACATCTCTTGTGACAGGGCACATGTAGCGAGTTTGTTTGACTATTGTAGCTGTCTTAGAGTCTCTGTCAGCAATTGGAGTGAACTTGACAGGTACCAAGTCCTGCAACAGAAAATAGACCTCAAGAAGTCTTTGTATACACACATTCACCCTACCTTAACTCTTAGCTCTTTACCACTCATGGGACAGTAAGTCTTCGTGTCCTGTTAAATGTATAAGTGCATATGCAAAGAGCAAAAGAAGCACGTTACACAATGTGTAGCCAGTTGCATACAGCATGTTACATTAGTATAAAGCAAGAAGCAAAATTGTTCACTTACGGGTTTCTTTATCTCAGTAGGTTTAGCACTTGGAGTGAGAGTGGGGATCCAGAAACTTGGCAGCTTTGGCCTCTTCCCCTTCACATCAGCTCCTCTGGAACCACTGGCACTAGAAGTACCACCGCTGCCAGCCTCACCACTGGGAGTCTTGGTAGAGGATGGGATACGGACGGTTCCTGGCTCCACGTCTGCCATGTTGCTAATACTGGGTGCTGTGAATTGTTCATGAGATATTCAGAATTCAACCACACTAGGAGCCGAGGTACATCGGCTGCATTATTCTGACCCTAAGCTCGCATATGCAGCGAGAGGTAGCATGCATAGAGGACGGATTTGCCTGGCACCTCCAGCCTAGACTCTCCAAGCAGTCTTTTCAACTAACTTGAAAAAGCTTGCTTGTGTCTAAGCATAAACGATCAACTGCAGGTATGCGGTGGTGTGTCATAAATAAACCATAGCTACTTTCAGGATCACGGTAAAAGGAAAAAATATACAAGACAAAATGTGGTACACCTTCGTGTTACATATTATACTTGTATCATAAGTAAGCTCTAATCCCAAACACAAAACAGCAAGTTTTTTTGCACACTTGCTTTGATTTACTTTCTTACGTACGTCTACGTGTACCAACACATAAAGTTGCAAAAAAAGTTAGTTATTATGACGAAATTTGTTGACAGAAGTGCAATATTTAGTTGTTAATTCATATCATGACACCCTAGTACATACCTTCTGTGGCCCTTGAGAAAGCATCAACTGGCTTTGTCACAATACTGTTTTCTGTAGCTAGAAATTTCTCAACTTTCGATCTTGCCTCTGCTGTTGCTAGTTCCTCCAACTCTTTCTACAAAAAAGGCAAAATTTGAGACTATCAGTTGAAGACGTTTCCATTTAATTTTCAGCAGTTTAGACTGATTTAGACAACTAGTATATACATGTCCATCAAACTTTCATAATGCATGAAATTATAGTTCATAGCATGTAAATATCAGGAGTGATCAATCAAAATAGAGCTCATACGTACAACACATTGCTGACATGGACACTTTAATGGTACTGTCAGCCCTGGTTCGTAGCACAATGGGATGACATTGCAGGGCCATCAACATCGATTTTATTGGGTTGTGATGAATGTACGTAACATGCCACGTAACACTAGTCATACTTCACATGGCCTACTTACAGCACAAAGATACTACACTTCAAGAAGGCTTAGAATTTTTAACCCTCGGCGCGCATGCGCGGCGAGGGTTACAGTACTTGGATTGTAATTGTGTCTGTCTGTCTGCTACCACTTTTTCTGCCACCACGCGCAAGAAATCGGCCAAAGAGTAAAAGTAATGGGTTCAGTGCTACACTAGCTTGATTTTAAAAAAGGTGATTTTTCATAAAACTACTGTGTTCTAAAGTTATGGCGTGAAAAGCAAGTGAACAAGCCAGTGTGCAAATTAGCACAGGCTTACCTTGACCGGGTCCGCTTGCTCTGTGCATCTTGAAGGCACAAGAAGGCACAAGAAGTTACAACGAAGAGCGTATATTGACTCCCGCATGATATCTACTACTGTCGCTAGCCTGTGTCAGACTCTCCGCAAGCTACCAGCAGGAGACCATGAGTAGACGCAAATTAAAAAGCCCAGCCCATCAATTAGTGGTACTGTGTATGCGCAGTTCGCCGAGGGTTTTCACTTTAGTGCCTTTCATTGACAGTTGTAATACTACTGTATGTTGCATTTTTGGCCGAGCAGAGCGAGCGCAGTACCTTAGCAAAAATTTTGTGAGCTATGGCTATTTTGACGGACAGAATTTCAATGTGCCACCAATTGGCTCCACAATGATGTCAAAGTGAGTGGTGGCCTTGAGAGCTACACGAAGAACTCGTGTTCACACCGAAAGAAAATATTTTACACAGTATTTCAGAAAAAGAAGAATTAATGCACAGTTGGATTTCACAATTTAACAAGTTGTTTGGATGTTAAGAGGATGCATATTTTACTGCAATTAAAGTTGAGAGGCTCACAGAGCTATACTACCGTTTAGTACATAAAATACACACATCAAGGAAGTACATTAAACACCAACCTCATTCTTTTTCTTCTGTCTCTCGAACTCTTTTAGTTTCTTTGCATCTATGAAAGCAGAAAAATTAAACTTTTCAGCAACACATTAACACACTGAAGGAAGTGCATATGACCATGAATACGAGGGTATGTAAGTACAGTGGGTAGCAAGAAAAGTAGTAAATGAATACACATGTAACACAGGAAACATGACTTACGTACTCTCTTTCTTTTGGTGTAAAATATTTTCCAGAATTGCTTCTTTATCATACAGATAACCATCAGGTCTATAGAATAAAAGAACTGCTGTGAGCGATGTAGCACCGTGTTTACATGTAATGTCACATACGTACATATATTCCATGCAAGAACATTAACTCATTGCTGACGACGCGGGCATGGGCGAAATTTATTGCACGGTCGGCAGTTTTATCTGCGTGTAGCGGGGAAGACGCTTCATGTGATTTTCTCGTGAGTTTGTTGCCTTATAGCTAGCACAGAGACTTGTTGCAGATGCAGATCGAGAGAGAAGTGATGCTGGGACAGCATGAAAGCGCTCAACTACAGTCACAAAAGCTTGTGATCAGCCTTCTAAGCTTATTTCCTAGCCTTTTCAATCATAAATAGCGTTAGCTAAAGTCTTTGTATCACTACACCTGATGTACAAGATCGCGTTGGTCACTCTTTACAAGGTGCGTGTATAACCGCGGATTGTTTGCGTTGTTTTGTCAGCCACAAGAATGCCGCTCACAAGTGCTAAAGTACTCCAGGGGGTTTCCCAGTTGTAGTTGGGTATAGCCTTGAGGTGTGACTGGCTGCTATTTCTGAAAAAGATGCACGAGAGTAAACGCAAAGCATTTGCTTGTCACAGCGTCTGTGACATCCGTCCGTACAGCGGGGTAATTCCTGTCACATACGCTGTGACATCCGTCCGCAATGAATTAGTAACAGGTCAGCATGATCTTCCTTGTGCTCTAGGGCCACCTGATAAAAGTTCTACTGATTCTCAAATTCAAATTATGCCATGCACACATATACACATGTACATGAGACCACTGACACACCACTTTGGAACATAAACAGCAATTCAAAGCGAAAACTTTCTGAGACATGACACAAGTGAGGCTTGAGAAAAGAGCAAGTGAGGAGTTTTGGGGATGTGACCAGTGTCCAGTTTAACGTTCATACACACACTTGTCGTAGGTCGCTACCGACACAGCAGACACACAACCCAGTAGAGCATGCACGAGTTTGAGAAGTGAAGAATTAATTTTGAAGAAAATTTCCTGAGGCTATTTGTTGTTGTTCAAACAAAGTGGTTGTCATGGAAATGATGTTACACGCATTGCGTACCAAGTTTCATCTCCATGCATGGCAAGTTTGAGGAGTGAAGAAGTAATTATAAAGAAAGGTGCCTGAGGCTATTTGTTGTTGTGGTCGTCATGGAAACGATGTAATACAGATGTGCACCAAGTTTCACCTCCATGTGTGCTACAGTTAGCAAGTTTGAGGAGTGAAGAAGTAGTTTTAAAGAAAATTGCCTGAGGCTTTTTCAGATAATATGCTGTCGTCACGGAAACATGTAATCGTCATGGAAATGATATAATAGGCATACATACCAAGTTTCACCTCCATGGGTGCTACAGTTAGCAAGTTTGAGAAGTGAAGAAGTAACTTTAAAGAATATTGCCTGAGGCTATTTGTTGGTGTTTACAAATATGTATTGTTGTGTGTTTCATGTTGGTAATGGAATACACTATGTATACAAAGTTTCTTTTCCATAGCTCTTACCATTTGTGAGTTACACTGACACATGTGTGCCCATTATTATAATGTATTGCCTGGGGCTATTTGTTGTTAACCCTCGGCACGCATGCACATCGAGGGTCACAGTACTTGGTTCGTGAGTGTGTCTGTCTGTCTGTCCGTTACCATGTTTCTGCCACCATGTGCAACAAATCGGCCAAAGGGCGATCAGTGCTACACTGTCTTGATTTTGAGCATTCTAAGATTATGGCTAATTAGCAGAGGCTTATCTCGACCGGGTTCGCTTGCTTTGTGTATTTTGAAGGTACAATAAGTCACAACGAAGGGTGGGTATCGACTCCCGCATGCTATCCACTAGTGTAGCCAGCCTGTGTCAGACTCTCCGCGAGCTACTAGCGGGAGACCACGAGAGTAAACACACACTAATAGCCCAGCCCATCAATAAGCAGTACCGTGCATGCACAGTTCGCCGAGGGTTTGCACTTTAGTGCTTTTCATTTTGTGAAGTGTTTGAAAGTGCACACATGAACGTTCAAAACTTACGTGGCCACAGGATATCTGCATGGCTGGAGCGTCAGACAACAACAATCAAAATTCTGGGGGTGGACAGTACAAGGGAAGTAAAGTAATCACCCCTGTTACACCAAATTGAAGTATGTAACTTCAACAACCCTTATTGTTCAACACAAGAAAGAATGAGCTAGTGCGCAGATATATATTTTTTTGCATACACATTATAATATTATTACAGTAGGTCCAGTGTCAATGTCAATCACACACAAACATGAAAGCACTAAAGTGCAAACCCTCGGCGCGCTAGAAACGTCAAACCCATACGCACGCGCAGTACCGCTAATTGATATGGTGACGGCCAGCTGAGTAGTAGCTCCCGGAGAGACTGACTTGGGCTAGCTACACCAGTAGATAGTAGACTCGATATGCGCTCTCAGTTACTGTGACTTCGACTTCCTGTGAAAAGGTCGTCGATGTAGTGGAAGTGACTTCCTGAGCCTCCAAGGTACACAGGGCAGGCAAATCAGGTCAAGTTAAGCCAATGCAATTATGCATAATATTTTCACGCCACATCTCTTGAATGCAGTTGTTTCAGTCGTTGCAGGAAAATCACCTTTTTATTATTCTCGCTCCTAGCTCCGAAACCGTTGGTATCACTCATAGGTCACCTAGGCCTATTGTGCCAGAATAGCCATAGACATACAAACAGACAGACAGTGTACAGTGTTAAGTGTACTGTAATCCTCGCTGCACATGCACACCAAGAAATTCAGACAACTAGGTAGGCTTGTTTCGCTCGGCAATTAAAATTAGCTAGGTGGGGTGAGTCATTGCCTAACATGAAAAGCACTAAAGTATAAACCCTAGGCATGAATCACAAGTGAGGTATAAAGAAATGCAAGTGAAAAGCAACAAATCAACGACACCCAGGAAACCACAATTTTTCCAAGGAAAAAAGAAAGAGCTCCCCTGGTACCATGAATGATCGAATCATATGAGACATACAGAAAGCAAAGAAAGTGCAAAGCCAAAAAACCATGGACAACAAAATTGCTGTTGTTAACCCTCGGCGCGCATGCGCAGCGAGGGTTACGGTAGTCGTTCTGTGTGTGTGTCTGTCTGTCTGTCTGTCTGTCAGCAGCTATTCTCGCACTACAGGCAACGAGGCTGCCCGTGAGCGATACCATCTTCAGAACTACGCGAGCCTGAAAACTTATTAGGCGCTTTTTCCTGAAACGACTGCGTTCGAGAACGAGATACTGGCGCGGTTGCGGACCGAGTTGCGTGGCCCAACCTATCAATTAGCTGTGCGCATGCGTATATATGCGCGTTCGAAATGTACGGCGCGGCTGACCACGACTGCGACTCCGACCAGGTCCGCTCACTCTGTGTATCTTGAAGGCACAATAAGTCACAACGAAGGGCATGTATCGACTCCCGCACACTATCTACTCCTGTAGCTAGCCCGTGCCAGACTCTCTGCGAGCTACTAGTGGGAGAAACACATACTGATAGCCCAGCCCATCAATTTAGTGGTATGGTGCATGCGCAGTTCGCTGAGGGTTTGCACTTTAGTGCTTTTCATTTCACACGAAGTCATGTTGGAATGAAAAGCACAAAAGTGCAAACCCTCGGCGGAGATGGGCGTGTTCGCTAGAGGGTTCCATGTCAAAGCAAAGTTGAAGCATAATTGTTAGATTCAGAAGATTCCGTTGGGGTTGCAAGTTTTCTAGGGTCCAGGTGCAGTGATGCAGCCAAAGAGACTTTACTAGCATCCAGGTCTATCTGTCTGGGACTACGAGTACACTAATAAGCGATATCAACGATTTCAGAGCTATGTACTAGGGTGTGGAAAAAGGTGATTTTCCATAAATGACCGCGTTCTAAAGATATGCCATGAAATCAAGCAAAAACACCAATATGCAAAATCACACTGGCTTACCTCGATCTGCTTGATCTGTGTACGTAGAAGTTTTGCATGCTCTTTAGCCAGAGTCAAGACTCTGTGTGAGTCACTAGCAGGAGAACGCGGAAGGAGCAAACACATAGCCTATCACATCAGTTAGTGGTGTGCGTATGCGCATGAGTTTGACATTTCTAGTGGGCCGAGGGTTTGTACTTCACTGCTTATAGGAACGATTAACCCTGAAGTTACCCCCATTTACCTTACGCATAGCAAGCGCTTGTGGTTGAGGTAAGCCCGTGCTAATTTGTGTATTGGCTCGTTCACTTGGTTTTCACACCGTTAACTCCTGAACGCAGAGTTTCAGAGAAAACCCCACATATTTTTTACCTATACCCGATGCTGAATACGTGGTATTGCTTGTGGAGCAATTGATGGCTCATGAAGGGAGTTGTAATGGACTGACTGACAGACATGTTACGCCCCTTGTCCGGAGTTACCTTTGCATCCGGAGTTAACACCATTTACTTTACCTTTCCTTGGAGGCACCAGAGGTTGGAACGCGGGGCATGTATCGACTCTCGCATATTATCTAGTAGTGTAGCTAGCCCGTTACCGATTCTCAGCTAGCTACTTGCCGGTAGGAGACCACAAGTCAGTAACATGGCGGCCGAGCCCATCAATTAGCAGTATGACGACACGTGCACGTACTTCCGCACCTGCATTTTGTTCCCAGACACCCTTTGCAATCTGTTCGCGCATACGCAAGATATTCCATATATCATATGCCGTTCTCACATAGGCTACAATTCTGCAGAGAACGTTTACCAAGCCTATTGTTGAGCTAAAAAACATGGCAGATGCACAGCGAAAGATGTGCCCCACTTGGTAGCATGCTTACATGGTCTACAGCCTTTCACAGAAGGTTTTGTAGGTCGGTCTTCCTCAACTTTGCTTTGACATGGAACCCCTCTCTAGCGAGCACGCATCTCCACTGAGGGTTTGCACTTTTGTGCTTTTCACTTATTGTTTTGTTTTTTATGGTGATTGAATACATTATGTAACAATAAAGTATATGCAGGTCATAAATAGTCAACAGGTGTGTGTGTGTGTGTGTGTGTGTGTGTGTGCCAACGTGCATGCCACAAAACCCTCTCTTTCAACAAACACAAACGTTGGTCATGTAGACGTACCTTTACAGAGTCTCTTCCGAGGCGTACAGTTTTGCTTCCGTACCCACTCTTCGCTGCAGACACGAGAAGCAAACAATAGCTAACTATATTACCCATGAACCTTACCAGAGTCTTTCTTCTTCTCATGATATGTATAGACGGCGCTGGCCGTGACGGGTCATCTAGACCTCAGTATAGTGGTCCAGTAGTTCTTACTATCTCTACAGCCCTTTGACCCTGGCCAAGTGGGTGCGATAGGACACACCCCCACGGGCAAGTCATGATAGTCTGAAAAGAAGAGAAGGTAAGAGCTACACTACATAAGTATGTCTGTATACATGTATTAACTGGTTTTTCATTGTGCAGTTCTAGATGTAAGTTTATCTGGTGATACATAATCTTCAAAAAAAAAAAAAAAATGAACTAAGAAAGTGTCATTGCTGTTTCAGTGCTCGTTCTGACCTTCATTGCCCGTAAAAGTAGGTAGTATCGTTTGTGAGACGAAAAAACATTGGAGAAGTGAGATGTTGACAGACCCAACTACCGTAACCCTCGCTGCGCATGCGCGCCGAGGGCAATGTCATTTTCAACTGCAGATAATCAAAACCAAATGAACAAGCCAATAAAGCAAATTAACAACGATGCCATCTACTGGTATATAGCTATCGAGAGACCGTTTTAGCAGTGCGCATGCGCAATGTATATAGCTTAGCGTGCGCGTCTCCGGCACTATACTAGCAGACGCAAGCATATCTGCGATCAGAGCGGATACTACTGATTACCAGAAGTGAGCCTGTTGCCACAAGGTGACTGACTAACTAACAACAGCGGTTTGCTCACCGTCCGCGTAGTGCTCTGCGAGGCCCGGTGGCACAGTTTTGTCTAGACTGTGCTTTATTCATAGCTAGCTAGCTAACCAGCTAGAGCTATGTATTTTAGAACGTTTTCCTTTAATGGAATCGTCAATGTTTTCGTGTTTGTTGTTTATGGTTTTTGACTCGGTTATCTAGCTAGAGTAGAGCAGTGCTTTCAGATGGAAAGTTTCCTGTGTACCATCGCAATTTGTTTGGTTGCGGTACGAGCGATACCACTGGAGGAATTTTATCCCTACAATCTCTCTGTTAACCAGCAACTGATTGCTAATGATGACGCATCATCCCGTGCCATCACACTTGATCCGCCGATTACTTTCTATGGTCGCAGTTACAACAGTTGCAAGGTTTTTTTTAGTTGCGCTGTATATACGCGGTACATCTCTACGTGTTGATGAATTTGTGCCCATGGTCCATTAAAAGTATAGCTAGAGCTACGCGTTGATAAATTTAGGCAATATTTAGGACTAGTGACTCTCTCCACCTTAACAGTTACAAGGACATTGAAGGCAACTTAGTTGCTTTATCCACTTACTGCCTATTATTTCAGATACACAACAATGGATTGGTGACTTTCAACACACCTCCACAACACTTTATAGAAGCTCCCTTCCCTGTAGAAAATTACACTTTCATTGCTCCTTTCTACGGTGATGTCGACACCAGGATGAGTGGAACAGTGTGGTTTACCGACCCAGTAATAAATGAATCAAGTGTACTGGATAAAGTTGAAAATGATATCCACGACACTTTCAGAGATCATGCCTACTTCAAACCTGCTTATGTGATTATAGCTACATGGGACCAGGTTGGATATTTCAAAGAGCGTTCTGATAAGGTTAGCACTTTTTTGCTGGATTGTAACAAACATTTTCCTCACTTTATATACAGTTAAACACTTTCCAATGCATTATTACATCTGATGGGTGTGCATCCTTTGTAATCTTTCTTTACAATGAAATACAATGGACAACTAATGAATCCAACTCAATGTCAAAACATGCTAAGATAGGCTTCAATGATGGTAATGATTATTAAAATGAGATTTCTTGGAACTATAATAGATTCATGCACTGCAGGTACACTGTTCATGTCACGGCAAGTGCCTTGCTCAATGACAATGAACTTGAAAGAAATTTCAAGAACAAGTAATGTTGGGATTGCAGGAAAATGGATTTTTCGTGTGGATACAACAAACTTTTCAACTTGCCACAATGGTATGTAATTATTATGCCGTTTGTGAAATTCATCTACTGTTAATACACCGTAGATTACGCAATGGCATGTGAGTCAGACCCATTCTGCTCCTGTTCAACCCCGGATCCACAGCAGAAATGCATTTGCACCGATTTGAAGGAAGACATTCCGCAGTGTAGCTATGTGCCTGTAACAACACCAACAACGACACCAACAACGACACCAACAACGACACCAACAACGCCAACAACAGGTTTGGGAAAAGTTTTACAAGTGTTAATGATAAAGTGGATGTCCATCATACTGAAAAAGTGACGTTTTATTTTACAGACGTCAATTAAACTGAAGTTGAACTGCGCGTGCGCATTGCATGGAACATACGCATGCGCTGGCCGGTACCGCAACCCTAGCTCGCTGTCTGACCCTGACACACATGAAATTGTGGGGCTCTACTTGCCCTCCGTTGCAACTTCTGATGCCGCTTAACTCAAGCTAGTGTAGTAACGAACATGTAGGTATTGCTGGTTTTGTTTTCTCAGTTGTGGAAAACGGCCAGGGTCTAAGTTGAAAATGATAAAACGACGAAAAAACTGCGAAGACCGCATTTTGTTTTGTACTGTTATAGACGACTGTTGCCACTCCACGCACCTAGCGCAGTACAACTTGCACTCATTGTATTCCAGTATGTGATGACGCGTAATATATATTTTTAATTTTCTATAGAAGGTTCCAAAGGGAGCTCTTACCCTCTGGCTTCTGATGAGATCGTAATATCAGCTGCAGCTTTCTTCTCCTGGTTGATGGTTATAACTGAGCTTCACACAGCATAGAGTCAATTGAAGGCCACATGTAATGTCAAACTTTGCACACTGAAAAAGTATACTATAAGCTAGCTGGAGACATTGATTAACAATATATAGTGCCTGCAAATGACTGATGTTGTTTAATTATATTTGGAGGGGAACTTCGGTGCATTGCTATTAATGACAGAGATTCGGTGGTCCAGGCTCGAGCACAGAATCAGAATTCAAGCAGCGGATATTCGACAGAGGCAGTTCCTATTCTGGTAGCCTCGTCCCCAGGCCCTTTCAGGCTATTATCACGAAGTACGGTAGTACTTAGTATGTAGGGATGGCACAAGTTGTCCTGCATTATGCCACATTTGAGATTTGTACGTTTCACTTTCAGTTTCAATCAGATCCCTCTTCAGCCCAGCATTCCCTTACACTACAACACTCTTCCTCCTGGACCTCCGCTGTTGGCACAGCGACATCAGCCCCTCCTACACACTGTCTCGGACGTCCCTCCGTCTTTCTGACATATCAGTGTGATCCGTATCATCAATAACAGCATTTACCTAAGAAACGGCTTGAAATCACATAATTGGTAATTGTTTCAAGGAGGATAATATTCTGTCAGAGCTAAGACAAGTCTACTGAGGGATTACTCACTACTATTGGCATACAACACAATACTGTCAGTGTACAGAGAACACAAACATTCACCTGTAACAGTGCCACTTCAACTACTTTGTGATGCAGTTACAGTCCCCTAATACACCTTCCGGCTAGTTTAACACACCAAAGTGTGTAGAACATTAAAACTGTGCTGTTTTTTTCAAACTGCACAGAGGAAATAGTGCGTAGTATGTTCTTTGGACACGCCAGGATTCATTAGTGTGTTGCGATGTTGCGCAGCACCGATTAATAACACATGCTATTTTAAAAACGACGCATCTTGGTATATCAAAACAGCACAGAGATAGATTTACACATCAGGGTAAATGTGTCACATCAACACAGTGAGTGTAACAGGTCGGTTTTACACATTTATCGTAAGCACAGTTTGTGTAAAAACAACAAATTTTTTCGCACATTTTGACACATTTTGTTTTTGCAATTAGTGTACATGTCAATAATAATGTGCACTATCTGAATACAGCACACTACCCTTTTTTGCACTTACACACAAGGATTTGTAATAGCACATGTGATATTAACAACTTGGTAATGTCAAAACAGCACAGACACAAAATAACACATCAGCAAATTGCGTCACATCAACTAGTTAATGGATATTTTAAGAACATTCCTTTTACACTTGCCTATGAGCACCACCTTTGGATATGTCACCAGTTGAACTCAAGCCAGCAAAAGGAAATTTTTTATACAAACTTGATGAGGTTAAAAAGGACAGGCTACTGTTGACTTTAGCTACTTTGACGATTTTTAAGATCTTTATATCCAGCCATCTACACCCATGCTTGTGCTTAATTAATGTCGACAAGTCAAGATCCATGGTGTAGAATACAAAGAATGTTCAGTAGTGAGACTAAAGTTGCGTCCTTCCTCATCAAATCCAAATCCTTACAACTATGGACCAGTCTGTTTACCATGAGGTGAAGGTTTTTGTCTGCAAGGTGTATGATGTTGTGAAATATGATGAGCATTTTGCATGTGTCCAACTTAAAGAAAGCCATTTGAACATGCTTGTTCCATTCAATTAGTGAGTTTTCATAAAACTCAGAGTACGTGTATCATCATTGAAAAAGATCATCCACATGCGTTTTTGTTGTAATTCGCCTTGGTTTTGTTCTAATCTTCACTTCATAAAATATGATAGTTTCCTTTTTGGTGCTTCAAGCCATCCTTATATCCCCCCGTCTTTTTGAAGAAATGATTTTCCCACTAGTTTCCACTATTTTTAACAGCTTATGACAACACTGCATTTTATTGTTACAGTCACTCTGATGTTCATGGGTATGTTGTAGATAGGCCTAACTCTAACTGTTGAAAGCAGTAGATAATGGGCTGCTATATAGTGTCTGAAGCGGGGGCTGGAGACCACATTCACCTAATGTATTGTCTTCAACAAGGATGTAATTAAGTTATTGCACACGGTTGTAGTTTCATGAGCAGGCTTGAAGGAAAAAAAGGCAACTAGGTCTGGATTGAGTGAGACATGTCATAAATGTCTCAGCAGGCTGAAAGGCAGGCACAGAGGCTGTGCGTAGGTCTGTAAAACGGCAGAAAAGAAAGATCGCCACAGCGTGCGCGCGGGATGAAAGTGGTGTGTCGATTTGGGCAGAATTACACATGCGCGTGCAGGAGAGATGCTGAACACGCGATCAGGCGCAGAAGCGATTCGTGATGATATAGAGAGTCTTACCGACTATAATTATTTATGCATAGTATAGTAAAAAGATAGAATGTGTAAATGAAATGGCATTAAAGTGAATGAACATGCAACTATGTTCCAAGCAGTGCAAAATGTTGTAAACTCATGTGAGACGTATGATACTATGCCATCATTGCTGCTCCTGCTCTGGTGGCTTTCAGTTCAACACCACTGCCAGCATACCCAGTTCTCCCTATAAGTAGAAATGAATCCATATAAAAATTATATTTACAAAATCTTACTTTGAAGGGAATCAAGTCCTTTCTTTAGAGTTTTGCCAGTTATGGGACAGAGCAGTGTGCTAGTTCGAATGAGTTGTCCACACACTCCTGAGTCACAACATCCCACTGCATGTACATACAAGGACACGTTTAGAACGGATAAAGATAATAAAGAGACCAATGCCTAGCATAAAAAATGACACGGTAGTGGCATATGGGAGCTATAGGGATGGCCACAACTGTACATATGATGCTTAAAATATTTTCTTGACACACACCACTCATATAAGTGCTGTATATAATGCAATGTTCCAAATCCGTGACTGACACGTAGTCGCTTGTGGCATTCTAAGCAGCTATATAGCAAGTTGTAACAGTGTTGAGCTTAATATGTTCGAGAGATCCGTTGGTACACCACAAGTACTTTACGTTCTCACAAGGAAGCCGGATTCAATTGCGGGCTAGTGGGAAGGAGACAAGCAACAGATGTGATTGACAGACATGCTGTGGCAGTGTTCTAGGACAACACTGGGTGTGGGCCAAATCTCCCAGAGGAGGACCCTGTTGTTAGTGTATATGGTAACATTATACAATGAGTACAGTAGGTGATTTGGAACTGCCAGCTGGGTCCAGTATCTTCTGGATCAACAGTGGATGGGCTTGCATGTGAGTCTGACAGTGACACCGATCACACCATGTACTCGTGCAGGGTCCTAAAAATCTAAGACGTTGGTTCAAGAGGCCCTCGTTTGCTTTCAGAGAAGGACACGTGATTCTTGGTGGATCTTTCATAGGATAGATGGAAATGTCCAAGGAGGCCTCCTTCACTCCAAGTCCATGATATTAGAGCATCGGTAGACGCTCCATATAGGGTGTCAAAGGGTCAAATCTCATGTGATCCGGGCTACAAAACGCCTATGTGTTCAATTACTCGCTAGCTTCACAAATCACTGGCAATAGTCTACAGGCCAATATGTAGGAACCCCGCTTAACGGACAAACTCGCAGTCCCGATTGTTTTATCATAGAGTTCCGTACGTTCATAACACCTCCTGAACGACACAAAAAAAACCCGCGTAACGGACGTTGCCGCACCCCCTGCCAGCGAATATAAATAACAACATTGTTACAACAGAAACTGCTTAGAGACGCCCATCAGTGCGAAGAGCTTCTACTAGTTCGTTTTGTTTATATATAAAGACTTCGCTCCATAAAAGATACATAGTGCAGGGATCTCCGCCCATAGCCAGCCCACGATGATTTTCGGGCCAGTAACTTCAACTAGTCCCTTGTTGACGTCTCTCCTAAGAAAGGGCGACACTAATGAATGGACGTGGCCGACAACACTGCATTGTTTATAGCAACGGCGAACCTGTCCTCATGAGTTGTTGGTCTCCCGCTCAAGCGGCATACCTTCACCGATGCGTGGGTTCCAAAGCCCATATAGGCATGATACCTCTCACATAAGACTGAACTTCCAAAGAGGTAATCTTCTCTGCCCCTGATAGCTGGCTTGCCATTTTCGACTCGAACCTGGTCAAGGTAGCTAATGTCAATAATACATACGTGGGACTGGTGCATGCGATCGAAACATGGCTTGACCAGTCGCAACGCTCTGACACTCGAGAAAAAGTATGAAGTTCTGGAAAATGGCTAAGAATCGGTCAATGACTGTACGCGCGCTTGCAGATCATTTCATAATGTGGGAAGTCAGATCGGTTAAGGTGCATATCGAAAGCTTTTTCTCTGATTTGTACTTCAAAGATTGCGAATGCATGACGGTCTCAGACGTAACCAAGTCGTTAGTTTGCTTCAAGCAATTCGTTGTTGACTCACAGGCATGAAGTTAGTAACAGAAGAAACACCATCTCTAATGTTTTCAAAAATCGGGGTTTTGGAGCGTTGGAGGGGTGTGCCATCGGTGCATGAGGACCAGAGACCCTT